AACAATTATTTCTTTTCTTCTTGAAAACTGACTTTATTCCTGAGGAGCACCTGTTTTCCTACAATCATTATATTTAATCAACATGAGGGTTCTTGACACTTATTTTTTCTTTATCATCCGGTATTTAGGTTTTGAGGCACCGAATAACCCGCCTGTAAATCTGATGCCATCCCATCACTCTGAGTGGGACTCTGTGATTAAGGCTGATGAGTAAATTTTCAATGACTGGTGGTTTTATGTTATTTATCACGTCTGGGGGTTAAATATGGGCGATGATGAAGTTTATGGTGGAGCTGTAATCTCTCTGACTGACCATAAGTTAGCTGGAAATAATCAAATTGTCTGAAAAACTGTAAACAATATCTAACAAATAACATTTTTGTGGCTGTGAAAAGTACAAAAAACATCACAGCTGAAAAATAAAGTTAATATAATGCAGAAGTAGATGTTTTAAAATAACAATTATGATTTAATAACGCATTTAAACGTGTTCATTTAGGCATACTTCCTGTGTATATATGATGTCGATGCTCAGACTATGCATATTTTTATTGTTCTTTAGGGAGGCGCCTCATCCTGGTCTAGCCTGCTTTAACTTGTACCAGCCGTACCGTGTATTTAATGCTAATTAGCCCGTGTTTGCATATCTGCACAGCATCAGCATGTTTGCATCGTTATGAGCATGATAGCGAGGTAATATTAGCATTTAGCTCAAAGCGCCGAACACAAGAACAAAGTGGACCGAGGCACCAGAACGTAAGAAAACAAGAGCCGAGGACGATATTAAAAGGAGCAAAAGTCGTATTCTGGCGTGTTTCATCCCAGAACAGCGGCTCTGCACAAAACATTCATGCAAACAAAGCGGCTCCGGCGCTGCAGGTTCTGCTGTTTCAGAGTGATCATCCTGTTACCCCGGAATCCATGAATACAAAGGAGATGCCTGCTCTGATTCCAGTATACGGACATCCACTGTTTGAAATTTCAGCATCTGAGACGTTCTCGTCATTTTGCTGTAATTTGTCTCATTAGGTGCCGTCACAGGCCTTTAACGCGCCACGCTCCTCTGATTACACCGATCCCCGTCACTGTGGCCGGAAACGTTCGCTTCTGCAAAGTTAGTGCGTTGATTTAACCCAGAGCTTCATTCCTCTCTCTCGGTATGAACAGCAGCTCTGTTCAAATCATCTGCGTCGCTCTGATGAGACGAGGCGAGCGATAAAGACTCCGGGTTGCGTGGGAGGTGGTCTGCCTTTTCCAGCTGAATATTTAATCCCTAAAATAAACCAAATATCTGAGCATGAATCAACAAAACGTTTATAGAAAGCGCCGCGTATCAGTCGCATCGCTTCTGATTCAGAAGCATCACGTCTTTCTTCTGCTTTTCTCCTCTTAAAGGAAAATGAGTTAATGTATTAACTTCCTGTGACCTCCGGTGACCTCTCTCCATCACACCGTCAGACAGTCTGCGGGTGAAGAATGGAGGCGTGATGAGCTGCAGCAGTAAAAATGTGAATAAATACTTTGCTTACAAAGCCTGAGTAAAGAAAATGTTGTCGCTTGATTAAGAGATTAGAACGAGTGAATGTGGGAGATTCTCAGTTTAATCGCCGACTAAACTTAGCACGTCGCTAACGTCTAGTTTTTTGTTGTTTATTTGAATCTCCTCAGAGGAAATCGGTTGACATTTTTGGAAACGAGGTGGGAAAAGCAACGCCACGTACATATCTATTCATTAAATCTGACGCTACAGCAGCAACGAACCTCTGAAGATCTCCGTTTATTTAATCCCAATCTTTAGCGCTAAACTAGGCTAACGGTTTTTAGCATACAGGAGAGCAGCATCAACCATCTAAGGACAAGAAAAGTGATTAGAAACACTAACCAAAGCATCAAACTAATTCTTTAAGGCCCACATATGTGCAATATCAAGGCCCAGGTGCAATTTCCACCTGGCTTGCAGTCCAGCGTGCACACTTTCTTTTCTAAAATAATCTGTTTCTCATCTTTAGCTTTGTATTTAGCAAACATACGAGCAGCATCGACCATCTAATGACAAGAAAAGTGATTAGAAACGCTAACCAAAGCATCAAACTCCTCCTTTAATGGTGTTTTCATATCAACACCAGATGCAATTTCCACTTTGCTTGCAGTCCAGCGTGCACACTTTCATATCTAAAATAATCTGTTTCTCATCTTTAGCTTTGTTTTTAGCAAACATACGAGCAGCTTCAACCATCTAACGAGAAGAAAAGCTGTTAGAGATGCTAACCAAAGCATCAAACTCCTCCTTTAATGGTGGTTTCATATCAATGCCAGGTGCAATTTCCCCCTTGCTTGCAGTCCAGCGTGCACACTTTCATATCTGAAATAATCTGTTTCTCATCTGTAGCTTTGTATTTAGCAAACATATGAGCAGCATCGACCATCTAAGGAGAAGAAAGGTGATGAGGAACGCTAACCAAAGCATCAAACTCCTCCTTTAAGGCCCGTGATGAAGCCCAGGTGCAGCTTCCACCTGGCTTGCAGGCCGGTGTGCACACTTGCCAAAATAATAAATTCTTTCATCTTTTTCTGAAATAATCTGATAAAACAGGAAGACCTGGCACGCACACAGAATAACAACCACCGAGGAGCTGCTGCTGCTGATGGATACAGCAAACAGTCATAAAACTCTCTGCTTGCCTTACATAAGAGGACGAGGCGCTGCACGTCGACGCCGCGCCGCCAAGCCGCCTTCATGCTGCCTGAGAATTATTTATCTGCGGCTCTATTCCTGGGAGGATGCTGTTGACAGCGTCTCATCTCGCTGTCTGAGAACCACCAGCTTCCATTAGGACCAGGAGCTGCAGCGTGATGTCTTTGTGTTTCTAAAAGCCTGGAAAGCAGCAGAGCAATACTGAGGCAAAGAAAGGAAACATTTATTGTTCATGAATGTGGCGTCACACACAGGTCCTGTCAGAGAAGAACAGGGAGGTGGTGAGGTCTTGGTTTGAGGTCTCTGAAGTAATCCTGCCTCCCCCCTTCTGTCTCCGTCGACAGGCAGCCGGACTTTGGTTCCCCTCCCCGAGAACAGATCAGCACATTCGTGTAAAAGCAGTACATTGCAAAAAAGACGGTCTAACATTCCACACGACGACTAGGTTTGTACATGTGTGATGCCCACGGCGGCTCGTATCGTTATAAAAATGTACAGAATAACATTTTTGTGTCTCAGTGCAAAAGATATATTTCAAAAGAAGTTCAGAAAAGCCGTGCCCTTGGTAAACGTCCACCCATGCCCCCGACCCCTGGAGTAAAATAACCGGCCCGATTACGAGACCACCAATAAATAACCAACAGAAGCAGTTTTACAGTCACCGTCAGATAGCAGCAGTGTTTCAGCTTGACTTTAAATACATATTCACAAACAACAGTGTGCCACTGTACACCCACGAGTCATCAGTTTAACTATTGATAATCATAATTACATTTGTATTGATAGTAATTACCATGACGATAACAACGGAGGAAAACAAAAAGAAAGAGATCCAGTGTGTCACATCAGCATTAAACTATTTACATTGCTTTTTTTTTTTTTTTAAAGTTCTGTGGCTTCATTTCCCATGTGTGAATTTCCCAAGTAAAAGAAGGCAATGGAGTGTCTCTAAGGTAAAAGGCTGGGAGTCCGGGGAGGTCATCAGCTGGTGCAGATGCTGTTGATGGAGATGATGGCCGGGTCCACCAGGCCCAGCTCCTCGTGCTCGTTCACGCACAGCTGGTAGCCGCAGCCCCGCCGGCGCTTCAGCGGGGTCACCTTGGTGTCGGGCTTGGCGCGAGGCGGCAGCAGGAAGCCCACGCTGCCCGCGATCAGCATGTGCCAGATGCTGTGGATGTAGAAGTAGTTCTCTTCCGTCTCCACGAAGGCGTAGAGCGCCACGGCAGACGTGGCGATCATGGTGCCCGGGAAGAGGAAGAACACCCAGCGCTTCCAGGTGGGCGGGTAGCAGCGCCGGCGGCGGATGGTGCGCACCGTCTGACGGGCCAACAGACACACAACACGTCACAGTTCACACCTTTGGTGGGGTCTAATGCTACAAATAGCAAACTGTAGCGTGAAACAGTTTAGCTAGTAAAGCTAAATTAGATTTTTTCAATGCATTCCGCTAATAAATTAGCATCATGTTAGCGTGTGGTGAAATAAAACGAGCTACTGTCTGAAAAATATCATGCATTTCAGATTTATTTATATTATTATAAACATGTTATGAGAAGAAGCAGAATGTGTTTCACAGTTTAGCTGGTAATGCTAATTTATTTATTTGTTTTTATTTATTTTTTATGCATTCCGTTAATAAATTAGCATCATGTTAGCGTGTGGTGAGATAAAACTGGATCATTTGTGCTTCAGATTTATTTATATTATTATAAACATTTTATAAGAAGAAGTAAAACATATTTTATAGTTTATCTGGCGGTGCTAAGTTGCTAATTTAGTTTTTTTTTATGCATTACTCTAATAAATCTGCATTATTATTTCATAGTGAGCATTGGTAAAATGTGACCCTTTCTAGCAAAACTTAATGTATTTAATATTTATTTTTTATTACTTTCGTGTGAGAAGAAGTAAAATGCCTACAAATAGCGAGTCACAGCTAAGCTAAAACATGCTAGCTCCTCGTTCCAGCAAGCTGTGGGGTATCACATTTAAGAGTAATTATATTTAATTGAATTTGATTTTCTTTAACGCAGCGAGTATTTTGTGATCCTCAAGAACCTTTTTTTTCTTCTTATCAATAAGACAGAAGCAGCAGTGTCCTCTTTTAACAAACGTCTTTCAAAAGGGCAAAAAAGTATAGAAATATGTTTTGATATATAATTATATTACATTATAAGCTAAACTGGAATCAAGCGGTGGATGTTTGCTTTTAGATTTTTAAAACGACTTCTACGTCTGAACGCTGTCATTTAAGTTTAGGCGTCGCTGTATGTGACGTCATGCCCTCTTCTATGATGTCATACCTGTTTCTGAGCGTTGATTTTGGGTTATTTGATGCAGCAGAGATGCTCTCTGCAAAGCTTCATGGTTCCACTTTGCCAGGTGTCCCATTTTAACAATCCTAATTAGGTTAGAATAACATCTGGGGGTTTCTGGAGTTGAGATCCATTTGCTGACCGAGGAAAATACTTATCTAATGTATTCCCACACGTGTTGAACTTCTGGTGATTTACACCCACAAGGAAGCAGAAAAACATTCATTTTTTGTAATTATGTTTATCTGATGTGTAGAAGCCGGAGTGTAGACGCTCAGCGGCGTTTCTTTCTACTTGTAGGATTAGCTTCACCCCAGGCAGCGGCTCAGGAAACCACGATGTAAAGAAAACGCTCTCCTGCTCGTCGTCGTAAGCGTTTTACGGCTGGTTTTCTTCATGAATCGATCTCCGAGGCCCTCGTGTTTAATGTTCTTTCTGCCTTAATTTAATGCTATAAGGTGGATATTGGAGCGCGAGCAGGGAGGAGTCATTCAAAAATAGACACCAATGGGATTTCAGCGAGGGACCAGCTGGCATCTCGCTTTTATTGAAGGAACAGAGGGATAGTGTTCTTCATAAATCTCCGCCGGTTTTTTACTGTCTGGAAATCGGCGTTGGTGCCCAATGCGGCAGCAGAAAAAAGTCCATCACGCTGTTCATAATCAGCTGATGGATTAGCGATTGGCCGGTCGATGCTTTATCTGCTTCGGTGATTTATGCTCCGTTTGGCAGCGGCGGCTGGATGTGACGTCTCCGTTTGTTTAATCCGGAGCTCGCTCTGTCTTTAAGTGGCCGAGATTCGCTGCACAAAGAGACTCCAACGTTTCATTTCGCTCGCCTTCTATTTTCATCGCTTTCATAAACGCTGTTTGCTCGTGTTTCTGCCGCCGGGGGGAAATGTGAGCTGTTCACCAACGACAAAAACAATCACGTGTGTCCTGGCAGGAAACCGCTCTGATGAAATGATTACGCTGTGTACATTTTAGATTAATAATCTATGTGAAGCCGAGTGAGGAGAAACATTAAATGTGCTTTTTACTGCTGGAGCTGCTGCAGCGGTTCCGGGCCGGGATGCTCTTTTCAGGCGGGAGTCGAGGAGCTCGTTTAGTCTGGAGAATTAGGCAGATTTGGCATTGACAGATCTGAACTTCTCCCCTTCCTCTTCCTGCTAATGACGCTCTGCGCCCGGCGCTTGACTGATCTGATTCGGTTGTGTCTGGGAACGTTCAGACGCTTTGCAGAAACATGACGAGTCCAAATGAAAGAGGGCTCTTGTAGAAAATGTGCGGCGCTCTGAGGTGCAGCCGGGATGTAGGAACGCAGGCTACTGAATGGCTGATGAATTATTAAGTCATCAAAGCGCTGGTTTGTCTTCACTAGCACGAGTGGAGGTTGTGGCTAGCTAGCCCGTCGCCGCCAGAAGATCAGAGATTCGGTCTAGACCAGAGCGACATGAGCTGTCTTTAATTGAATCCGCTGAAGAGAATCAGTGGATTTTACAGCGTTGTTGTTAAAAGATATTCGACTATGTACTAAAAAAACCCACAGCCTCCTAGTTTTAAAGCTGGAGGGTTTACACGGGCGAATTAAACAGCACTTCATCTTCCACTGTTTCTGTAGGATCCTCCGGCTCGCGGAAAGATAACACTCAGAGCTACAACTCCCACACTTTACTCAACGCAAAGCTTTCTCCAAGGAAACCACAAACCTTGTTTTCAAACTCATGTCAGAGGTTTGGTGTTAAAGGTTTTCTCTTTCTCTTTTTTTTTTCTTTGCAGGAACCTTGCCTGAAAGACTATTATTTTTTATCTTCTCAGTTCAGGGAGCACATTATGACTCGAAGAAGAGTCAGTGAAAGTACAAGCTGAGTTATAATGGAACTACAACCCATGACTAATACCCACAGGCTGCAAAACTTTTAAAGCCCCTTTCCATGCTAATGTAAAATAGCTTCATTGGCCGCAAAACCGCCGGTTTTTAGCCATGCACATGTTCCAGGCCTCTGTTAGCGTAAATGACAGATTAAGTCCCGTTACACTGGCGGGCAGGAGGAACAATGGCGCCGAGACGTTTCATCTGCATGTTTGAACAAGCTGGTCAATGAATGTTAAACACACATTATGTATTAAAATAATTAGCCCTGGTAGAGCAGGTGCAGGACGCTACAGGCCGCGTGCGCTTATAGAAATGTTTTTAAACTGTTTTATTTGCAGTGGATCTCTTGTGTAGGAATAATTGCACATAAAGATTTAAGTGTGTGTTTTTTTTCATGTGTTTTGCTTCATTCCCGTCTCTGAGCTAATCCTGCTACAACATGTTCCTCCTCCGACAAAATCCATTAAACTTTATTCCAAATAAACTAAATGTTCCCGTCCTGCGGTGGCCTGCTCCTCCACCGGGCGGTAAATGTGTGAGTTTGTCTTACCCACGCCACGGCCATGATGCCCAGAGCAAACAGGCTGGGTCCCAGCAGGTTCCACAGACCGTGACGGTCGAGCTGCAGAGCCATGGACAGAGACATCGCCCCCAGCAGATACAGCACCTTGACAAAAAGCACACGGATCAATATGTGGCCTCCATAAGCCCTGTCAGCGCCGCCGCATCCTCCAGTAAATACAGCCAGATGTTTGTGTGGTCAGGCAGCAGCACATCTCTGCTTCTGGAGAGTCTGTCTGAGAGAAACTCTTCCAACTTATACGAAACGTCTGATGGACGCCGAAGCACCGGGCGATGATTTCGGTGCGTGGACCAGACTTTTTATTTTCCCATTTTGAACCGTTTGTTCTGGCAGTCGACACGCTGTTGGTGCCTTCACAGAGGTCTGATGGAAAACTGGTGCAGAAAGGTTGGAGGTAACATCAAGATGCAGGAGAGGGAACGCTGTGGAGGGAAGCTGGAGCTCTGAGGGTACAAGTGTACGGTGGCCCAGAAGTGTCACAACAAAACAAAAGACACAACACAATAAGCCACAACGCTACAAAATTAACAACAACGCTCCAAATTTAACCACAACACTACAAAATTAAGAAGCCGGAGATGGTTGGAAACAACTTGAAAGTAAGTAAAATACTGATAGCAAATAGTGTCCATTAATCTCCGGCTTCTGCCCACTTCCTGCGGAGTTGCGCACTTCACAGTAGAACTTCCGGGTTAAAAAAAAACAACTTCCGTTGCAGCCGTTGTGTTGTGTTGTGTTTAATTTTGTAGCGTTGTGGTTAATTTTGTAGCATTGCGGTTAATTTTGTAGCGTTGTGGCTTACTGTGTTGTGTTGTGGCTTTTGTTTTGTTGTGACACTTCTGGGCCACCGTACAAGTCAGATCAGGAAACAACATGGCTCGGTGCGGTATGGCTGCATCTGGTCTGTAGTTATCTGGTTGTTTCTGCTGCAATGCAAACATCATCTGTGTCATCTGAACCAGAATCAGACGCAGCCTGAACAGCAAAGCAACAGAGGAGGCGTCTTAAAGCTGCATTCTGTTTAGCTGCCAGCAGGGGGCGACTCCTCCGGTTGCCAAAAGAAGCCCGTATATGAGAACGTTACCCGACTTTCCACTTGAATAATTACCTCAATGCACATTTTTCTTGCACGTTCGTGGTCTGGATCACTAGTTTAAAGACTCTTTGAAGACAACATGATGTTCTTTTTGCGAATTATGGACCCATTTGGAATAAAATAACCGACACAGAAGGTTTATTTTCTGCTTTTTCATCTATACGCCACCAGCTCATGATGAAGCCACTCCTGTTTCAGTCGTACAAAATTACAGCTTCTCTAAAAGAGTAGTAAAGTAAACTGTTGTCATCTATTGTCACAGGCATCCAGAGGCATGTTTGGCAGTTTGTTTATGTGATTTGTTGCGAATAAGTAAAGCATTAAAATAAAATAAAAGCAGCCACCTTTATCCTGTAATGTCAATACCCACAAGTGGAGCTGACTTTATGGAAACAGCAAGTGTGTCGCCACCAAACAGGTAAAAGCCTTTCATTATGTAAATACGCCGCCGCTTTAATGCACCGGCGGGGAAACGATCAGCACAGAAAATAATTGGAACACCCACCGAGTTCAGGTGAAATCAACGCGCCGAACTTCTTCTAGAACGGACGCAAAACAACAATGAAACCCAAACGCTAACAATAGAGGCCCGCTCTATAAATAATACTCGTTCTTTTTTTTGCCGAGCTCGCAATTGGACATAAAGCCACAGGATATAAAAGAGATAAAGAGAGAAAGAAAAAAAATCAATAAGCTGAGCTACACATGCTTTGGGAGGACTTCAGCCCGTCCAGGACGCCTGGGGTCTGCCTGCTTGTGTACGGCGGGCCGACGTGAGGGGAACTCTGGGGTTTCTCTGTGGGATGACCTGCCTGCAGGAGAACAGGACTAATTGGCCCAAACCGAGGAGGAAAGGAGCAGCGCGGTGCAGCCCCAGGACTCGGTGCAGCGCCAGTCATCCGTCATGCCGCAGCGCCGCATCATGCAGCAAACATGCATGCGTCGTGTGCAGGCGTGAACGCAGCGACACTCACGGGCTGGAATGAATTATGATCTGTCATCGAGACAGAGGAGCTGGTCGGGAGGTTATTTTTGTCCGCCGCATATATTTTCATGCTAACAAACACAGACTAATATGGACTTCTGTGGTACTGGTGTGAGCGACAACGAGCCCGAAGGCGGCGCCGTAACGAGCCGTGATATGAGGCCCGGACAAAGCTGCTGAAAACTGAAGCATGGGGGGTTATTCTTGATATTTGGCAGCAGTATGAAGAACACGTCGGCGCTAAAGTGTGCTCACCAGCTTTCAAACAAATCTCAGGGTCACTTATTAAACATCTGTCGGAGCGTTTCTCGATTACCGAACGCTGTTACAGCGCTTTGCTCTGGTTCTACTGGTTACACTTCACCGTTATGATCGTTATGAACTGTGGGTCATTTATAGTCTTGTGTGTATTTCTCTCCTCAGTGTGGTTTGTTAACGAGTGGATTAGGAGCAGGTGGTGACCACGGATTGGCTGCCTCGTCTGATTCCAGCCGCACAATTGGTCAGGGGGCGGGTCCTATTTGAGCAGCCCACCAGCTGCACTCCTCACCTCCAGCCTCGCCACCACAATAGACTGTATAAAAGATGGACGTAGCTTCCGTGACGTCACCCGTTGGTTTCTGCACTGAGAAAATGAAGCCAGGGTTTTGCTACTTCCTGGTTGACATCTTGGATTTTTGGAGCCAGTGCGGGGGAGGGGGGCGGAGCCATAGGAGCAGCGATTGGTCAGACGGATTGAGAGGCGGGCCCTCTCTGCCCGCCCACATTTACCGCCTTCTGCTCGCTTCGTCTGTATGGTCGCTGCCGACTGTCAATCAAGCCAGCCACGCCCCTTGCCCCGCAAAATGTTGACGATGTTTTAATAATTCAATATTGATTTATTTTCAGATTGGCCACCTGATCTCTGGATCTGACCATGAAAACTAATAAGAAAAAAATCCTGAGCTGTAGGAATGCAGTATTTCGTGATCTGTGATCACTTCTTTTCCAATTCAAGTCTATGGGAGCCAGGGCTTTTTGGAGCCAGCAGCTAGCGGACGTAGTGATATTGCAGGTTTTTGACACTTCCGGGTTCGCTTCATTTTTCAGGGCCGGTTGCTACGTCCATCTTTTATACAGTCTATGTTGCCACTACAAGGAATGTCATCGTGTCTGTGATGCAGGACGATGCAGCAGCACTGGTTTGTTCGTAGCCGTACGCTGTAGATTCTGTGTTCTGAGTCTAAACTCTGTGAAACTTTATAAATATTGTATAACCAGAGAGCAGAAGAAGGAGAGAGAGGCCTTTTTCTTTTAACCCCTTTTTTTTGTTTCTTAGGTCGGTAAGTAAGAATATTGTCTTTTATTTACCTTCTCTTTGTGACAGGACAGTCAAGGTTAATTCAGAGAGTCTTTTGTTTGTTATTGTGGCCTATGTCTCCCTCTTTACTTACAAAAAATAAAGAAACTGCTCGTTTGGAGACTTGACATGTCTGGTTCCTGGCCTTCTTTTGGTGGAGCAAAAATTCATGTGATGCCAAAGGTTCCCCCAGATCGGGCCCGACACTAAGATCACTCCAAATGCTTTGTATTTTTTTATTCAGGCTTCAAGGTTTTCCGCCGACATGTTGATCCTTTGCTATCAGAATGTTAAATTACACCTAATCTGAATAACAATGAGTGTAAATATGACAGAATATGTCACGTAAAAGCTTTTAGCAGCGTATATGTGAGTTTTCTAGTTGCTTTATCACCACCAACATCCCAACATGAGACCTCTGATGGACCAACACCAGCGTCAGATGATCTCGCTGGTTTTAAAATCACCAAACATTTGAGAAGAAGGCACCGTTTCTCTTTCTCTTGTGCTTCTACCTCTTAATAAACTGTTTAAAACCATTTAGCTATTTTGTTCTCCCCCAAATCGTCTAATAACGTTTCACGTCCTGCTAAACCCAAAAATCTCAGCCAACGATGTTATCATAGCTGCTCGATAAAAGAGGTCCAAAACCACCAAAGACGCCATAAAACGTAATTATCCCTTAAACTGGTTTATATGATTCTGACACCGTAACCTTCAGCAAGTTGAGACGAGCAAATCTCCTCGAGCTTTTTTTTTTTTTTTTTTATGTGAACCACTAAAAACGTCCTTGCGAGATATTTTCTGGAGACGCATTTGTGACGACTTTGAAGGTCCAAAAGTCCCATAAACACTCGTACATGCTGCTGGGTCCTTCACCCTCTGCTGCTGCTGCTGCTGCCGTAGACACGAACAAACAAACAAACAAACAAACACACTGTCTAGTACACACACGGTTCCACTTGCCAGTCCTGACATGTGCGATTTGATTAGTGACTGTGTACTGCAGCGCTAAGCAAAAATGAAAACTCTAGAGGACAGCAGATGTTCGTATACGCTCCCTCCCTCCACCTCCCTCCGTCTCATTTATGGACATGGACACACATTTACACAAACACACACTTCTTCTTCTTTTTTTTTCCTCCTGCTCCATCTTGGTGTGCAGCCAGGGAGTGACCCAGGGAGAAGGTGCACCTGTTAGTGTTTACCGTCATCCAGCGCAATATGTCAACAACCGGAGAGCTTCAGCGTGAGCCCGACGCGCCGCTCCTTTCATTTAGAAGGAAAAAATCGAGGCATATGCGGTGTTCATTTATAGCCTCCTATACGGCTCTGCAGCGTCTCCGTCCTGTAATCTCTCCCTCGCTCTGTTCGCTTCAGGGCTTTTTCTCAACTTGTCTCCTCGCTAACGTGGAGCTCTCAGTTTAGCTGCTGCCAGACTGCATGACAGTGGAAATGCATTACGGTCCTGAAGACGTCTGGCTCCACTCGTCTGAACCGCTGCCCACGTCGTCGAGCAAAATCAAAAGGGGTCGAGTTGCTCTTCTCCAACGGCCGCTTCCTCGTTTAGAAAGCGCGGCGCCCCCCCGAGCCAATCGGCGCAATTTGTGGGCGAAGCTAAAGGTGGTGACATCAGCTGCGCTCCACGCGGCCACGCTGATGCGCCGCTTATTGCTTACCGGGGTAAAAAAAAAAAAGCTGAATTGGAGTGCAGGGGACAGGTGCAATGTGGAATCACTGTCAGCTAATAATAAAGCAGCAGCAGCAGCAGCAGCAGCTAGCGGAGATGCTTTGATAAGCTTCACCACAATAAACCACCAGGAATACGTGTTTATTAGTCTGCCGTGAATCTTCTTTATTCGCTCATGTCGTGCTTCCTCTCCTCCGTGTCTGCCGTCCTCGTCCTCGTCAGGCTCTTCATTTAGTCTGTCGGTGTATTTATAGTCCCGTGCTTCCCCTCCGTCAGTCGCCACTTCCTCCGAGGACCTCGCTCGTCTTCCTCACGCCTCCACTTCCTGCGTTTTCAGTTTCTGCATCCGTTTGTTTTTGCTCTGTTTTTTTTTTTGCAATAATGATATTTTGATTTTTGCAGCACCTTTAAAAAATGGAGTTTGCAATGTGCTCTGACAGACGAGCGATTTCACAGCAGAACGCTGAACAGAGGGAACAAGACCAGAGGTGCCAGAAAGGAGCCACAGAGACAGAATGCAAAATACAGAAGTCCAGAATAAATACATGAGAAGAACACCAACCGATGCAAATGAAATGATAAACGCCTCTAAAAGAGACGACATCACGAGAGCAGGTCTACAGAAACGGGTTTGATTTAAAGGAAGATGCTGGTTCTGGGAGCCTCATCTCTTCAGGTAGGTCGCTCCAAAGCCGGGGAACACTAATGGCACCAGCAGGGTCACCCTCGGATTTAAGCCTCGACTTTGGAGCAGCCACAAGGGCCTCATCTGAGAGTCCGACGCTGCCAACTGGCTTATACCGGGTCAGCGGCTAAACCTCGGCCCGCTCCCTGCTTTTTGTTGCCTGCTTGGATTTCTGCATTTGAGCCAGTTTCAAGTAAAGCTTTTATTTTTTGTATCCTGCAGAACAAAGTCCGTTGACAAACTACAGGTCCGTGACTGTACCTGAACTCCTCGCTCAGCGGAAACATACCTGCTTGATGATGGACTTGAGGCGGGCCATGGCGATGACGGTGACCCACACCGACATGAGCGACCCGAGGAAGTCGCAGAACTGCAGGACATCGTACTCCATGATGCAGAAGACCACGATGCCCGGCTGGTCGCATGCATGGTAGAACTGTGAGGAGGAAGGAACAGCGTATGGGATGATTCAGAAAGATTAAAACTCTTATTTAAAGTTATGGTGGCTTTTTTCTGCATTGTCCAACAACTACTGCTGCTGTTGTTTGAAGAGCTGGATGTGATTTGTTTGTAGGTAGCAGAATAATCTCTGTCTACTCCAATAGAGGTTATTGCTGACCATTCTTTTACAAACTCATATAACTAGAGATGTCCAATATTGGCTTTTTTGCCAAAAACCGATATGCCGATATTGTCCAACTCTCAATATCTGATTCCGATATCACCGATACCGATACTGATATATATATGTGGGCTATTTAGTTAACTTTAGGGAACATCTAGAGCTGGTCCCAATCGCAATATCTGGATATTTGGTGTTTGGGCCCAATTAACAACAAATATGACAGGATATTATTACTTTACTTATGTGTTTCTTTATTGATGAACACAGTAAAGGGCATTTAAACAAACTCAAATACAAATTTAGAAAAGAACAAATTAACCTAATGAATTATATTATTATTAAAATTCGAACCTCAGAATTAATATCCAGATGTCACCACAGCAACTGAACATTTGGAATACTGGAAAACGAATGCAGTTTAAAGTCAGGCGCGTGCTTCTAACTGTCTATAGAAATGAAGGCCTGCATGGAGATCTAACCATGAATCTCAATTGTCAAGGCCAGTTACAACACATACAATAAGCTACTTCCTTATGGGACATTGGAGCTTTCGCAGTTTCATCGTGCTTTCAAATAAATCTGAAAACTGTATTTATTTTAACAGCTTTAAGGGAACACAGGTGTTAGCATCTATATTCAATACTTTAATAATTGCAACTGTTTCTGACTCTAGTATATGTTTGGATAGATTGTTCATAACTAGGAGTGTGTCGTCTGCATACGGTGAGATATTATGTGTCAGCTTTAGTCAAACCTGTCACAACCTAATTACTGTCTTAAAACATCTACTTCTGAAATAGTTTTTATTCTTAAGTCATTTCTTTCTCTTCTGAAATCAATATCTCCTTGAGAATAAACATTCTTCTGATTCTAATTCTGCCACCATGGTCACCGGCTTGCAGTCTTTTTCATAGCTGTCAGCCAGTGGAAGGATTTTTATTGCATCAGCCGCCTGCTCTCTCATGTTCATGGTTGTCCTTGTGCACACACACGATACGTGAAAAATCGGGAAGCAGTCATAAAAACAACATCACTAGCGGTCAAAAGCTCCACAAGCAACGTGCTACGATGGCCGTGATTAGCATACGTCTCTCATTTATTTTGTTTCTCTCATGTCTCGTTCAAACAGAACGACCAATCGGCGGACACTCACGGTGGAGAAGAACATGGTGAAGATGTAGACGGACGCCTCCAGCAGGTAGTGGCTTCGGATGGCGATGGCCACAGGAGGGACGAACATCAGGTTGCTGAGGCAGAGCAAGAGGGTGGAGAGGAGCTGGAAGCTGTAGGAGTAGGCCTCCGAGTTGTCCGTGCATCCCCATCCGTCCCATCCTAACATACAAACACAAACACTGTCGGTACCGGACTCTGACCCAGGAAGAAAGAGATCTACACGGCCTATAAAACCTGTTTTTTATTGCTTTTTAACATTGAATCACTGTGATTATTTTTTCTTTTAAAAGAATTTACAAAATCAGACTCCTTCCCGTCAACATGACAACAGATTTCTAGAAGCCTTCAGGCCGGTACTTCATAGATGCAACTCTGGCTGCAGCTCCAGCACCGAGCCCGAGTGGATCGGTGTCAAACAGCCTCGAACATCTGGACGCTGAAATCTCACCCCACTGCTCTCTGCAAAACTGTCAGCTTGCACAAGAAATATGAGTGAGCAGCTTTTTTTTTTAAGTCCATCTGCAAATTCTCAGTTGGACCGAGGTCTAAGCTCCGACTCGGCCACTCCAGAACCTTCACTTTAAACCGTGTCTGTGTAGCTGTGGCTGTATGCTTCGGATGATTTGCTGGAAAACAAATCTTTTTCCCAAGCCACAGCTCTCTCGCAGACTGCATCAGATTATCCTCAGGATTTCTCTATACTGGGCTGCATTTATTGTTTGCTTTACCTTTGAAGTTCATCCAGGACCCTCTGCCGAGAAGCATCCCTAAATAATGATGCTGCCACCGCCATGCCTCACCATGGTGATGATGGTGTCCAATGGCCCAAAAACTCCATTTGGGTTCCATCAGACCATCTTCCAGTCGACTTCAGAGTCGCCCACGAGCCTTCTTGTGAATTAGTCGAGATTTATTATTAGCTTTTTTTCCCAACAGTAGCTTATTCATTAACTGACTTCCTGCTGCACCTGCGTCCAATCAGGTGAGTCGCTTTAAACTTATGAAAACACCTATTTCATGTTTTTGGTTTATTGAAATTACTTTTGCAGAAATCTGTTTTCACTTTGACATGAAAGAATTTTCTTTTTTAGTAAATTCTTGTCAAGAAAAACCCAAATTAAATTGACCATGATTCAATGTTGAAAAGCACTAAAAAGGAAAAACAACAACATCCAAGGGAGGTGAAGTCTTTTCATAGACGCCGTAAGAAAGCTTTTGTGCTGGCAGGCTTTATAGGCGGAAAGAAAAATGAAATAAATGGTTTCTGTCTTCCTTAAACTCGAATAAATCTTAAGGAAGGAATTCTTAAATGCTTTTGTTGACGCGTGAGAAGAAACTCTCTCCAGCAGATGAAACAGGCAGCTTCAGAACCGCATGCTTTGAATTTACAGCATCTCTTAAAAACGTATAAAATATTTATCTCTTGACAAAACGAATACTTCAACAGGCCCTTTTTTCCCGTGGACAGATATTTCTCTGTAAAAATAACCAAAAACAAACGCGATACGTGTGAAGCTGTTCATCCCGCACGATCCGGCCTCCTGGTGCGAACTCCCGTCTATTTTAAAACGCTCCGGCTTTGCCACATTGGATCCTTATCAAGCGGCGGATTGGATGAGACAGTGTGAATTAAATATTCCTGAGCACTGTTGAACAGAGGTTCTGCAGCGTGAGACAGGCCAAGGGCAGGCGCTGAATGCAAAGTGCCTGCCAGGAAGCAGTCACACATATGAAGTATGACAATGAGTTTAACTGAAGAGAAACCGGCTCCGATAAAAAAGGAAGATCAAAGGCAGGATTTAGAAAAGCCTCGGAGGACACGCTTTGTTTAGTTTCATAAGCTCATCTTTTATTGAAAAGCTGTTCGTAATTAAGAGTGTGTTTTATTGTCTTATCAAAACGGCTTGTGTTAAAAGATTAATACCGGGCCGCCGCCGCCGCCGCCGCCGCCGCCGCCGCGTGACTCATCGGACGGCGGCACATGCGATTTTACTGCAAAAACTGTCAGTTCGGTTCTAGGAGATGACCCGAGCCGTCCCACCTGGCTCGCTCCCATTTCCCTGTCACTCCGCATGATGTAGTTCTCCAACAAATGAGAAATTCTTTGCAGCAGCGATGACCCCGTTCCTACAAAGGAACTTTTATCTTACCGTGTATGTTCTGACCCGAACACGAGTCCAATTATCCACTCATAGCCACACGGCCGGCTAATTATTAAACACTGATAAATAATTAAGGGCGCTGTTCGATATATAGCATCAACTATAGAACAAGTTTCTGTGGTTTGTTGGTAACTGACAGACTTGGACATTAAATCAGAATCAACACCTAATCAAAGTTTAATTCACGCTGCGCACCGATTCAATCAACAAACGAGCAGGAAAACACACTCATCACATGAACTTGAAGATCACTCTGTCAGTGCAACGTGCTGCGGTGGGTTTTCAAAGTGAACCGTTACCTGCTTTGCATTCGCACGCGGCGTACAGGTAGTTGTTGGTGCGCAGAAGCTTGCACTGGCCGTACGTCCCGCAGTCGTTGATGCAGGGAGTCAGATAGGAGCGCATGTAGACCTCCGCAGTCACGTTGGTGCAGGCCTCGAACCTGGAAAAGGCACAGACGGATGTCGGTTTATCATCAAGTCACCAGTTTGTCCAGTGACTCGATAATCCGACAGTAAATGTAAAACCTTCTTTTATGTTGGATATCAAGGCTGTCGGATTGTTAAGATGGAGGTCCAGATACGAGGAGGGCTTGATGCTGGAAGGATCATTAGTTGTTCATTATTGTTCATAGTTGTTATAATAACTAGTGTGTTGTTAGAACACTACACATCGCTGGACTTCAGCCTAACTGACCGGTTTGGTGCACGTTCCACCCCGGGGCAGCGCTCTGACGGGGTGGAAGTGTCCAGAACACACAGGCAGTACTTGGCTGCTGATGCTAGTTTAGTTAGCGCTCACACTTCTGTTTCCTCCATCGGTGGCGGTGGGGGAGTGGCAGATACGCTCCACCGTTACCATCCATGTTTACTTCCATAAACACTGAGCACGCTCGCTGCGTGTGACGTCGTCGTGTCCTCTTCTGCGCATGCGGGACACTTTTGGCTCGTATGAAGTTCACACAGCAGATCACATACAAGTCGCATTGAAGTGGAAACGTGAAGGAAGTCACAAAGAAATCCTCATTGAGCATCAAGTCCTGCAGTGTGAACGTAGCCAATCTGTGGGATTGTTCAGTCAGATAATACGCCGTCATCCTGATTGGTGACATTAAATGTCATGTCGGAGTCACAATCCAAGGCTGTCGCTATGTTAAGGCTGTTTTTATGGGTTCTGTTGGTTTTTCTTAAAAACCTGCTGGATAGGAAGGTTTAGGGGTCGATTATCGAGTCACGCCTGTATTTGCTTTCTAGTCGGATGCGTCCAGACTCCATCATTCGTTCCCCTTCAGCACCTGCAGGCTGCATTCACTGACAGTCGCTAACGTGCTAAATTAAGATGGTAAACATGACGCTCGCTAAATATCAGCACGTTAGCGGACTCATTAGCAGCGTGTTATCGGGCTGACATTCACATTCCACTTCAAAACTCTCCACATTTGGCCTGAAGCGCCGCGAGAGCACCTGTTGGGCTCCAGTCTTGTTGTTTGGCGTCCCGCGGCAGCGCCGCCGTCACCGCAGCACGCCGGAGATCAAAAGGTGGTTTTCAGCTTCGTCGCAACTTTACCCTGTCAGCGGCGTGCAATTTCCGACCTCATTAGGCAATTACAAAAGTAATTTTCTGCAAATGAATCCGTTCCATACAGGCCAACGAGGAAACCAGAGTTCTGCTGTGATACTTAACCTTCGTTAGATATTTCAATTAGGAAACCCAACTGGAATTTTGCACATTACTTTACATATAACCAGCAGGATCAGTCGGCTCCAGTTTTGACATCTACTGCCATTTATGTTATGGAGAAAAGTAGGGGTTTTTTTGGTAATCGTTGCCTGATACAGGTTATTATTATGCAGCGAACTACAGCCGACAAATTAACAACTGCACATATACGCAATTTATCTCTGACACTAGCCGGTATAAAAGGCAAGAAAAAAAAAAAACATATCCTTGCATTGTATCCTTACTAATTGCTAGCTTCTACCATCAATTACAGAAAATGACACTCCGGGAGGTAACAAATGCGGTTCTTTGTATTTCCCCGACAACACATTTCTTTTATAATTGACACAGCTGCTCACTTCTTTATTTTTAAGTTGTATCAATCAACTTAATTGTAGCCTTAAAGAGCACCTGTCATTCACGCCACCACTTCTCCTCCATAACCAGACCTGATTGATTCAGCAGGTGTAAATGCGTAGCGGCGACACCAAAATGTTGTCCTGCGTTTTATTTTATTTTTTATTTGTGAGGATGAGTCCCGCACCATCTGCTATTATCTGTTATTCAAATTCAATTGGAACTCCCGAGTGGCCGAGAAAAAGTCTGCTTAATTTCATTCTATTCACATTTTTCGGTGCCATTAAGGGTTCGGCAAAAAAAAAAGAAGAAAAACAGCTCAATCTGCTGAATAGCTAATGCTGAAGAACTGGTGGAAAACACAGCGATGGACAACTTAATGGAAACATTCTCCCCCAACTCCTCTTTTCTGATATTTCTCATAATGACTTTAATCAACCCTCAGAGAAAAAGCGTGTACTTATTCAATTCATCTGTGGAGTAAAAAAAAAAAAAAAGAATCTAAGAGCGGAGAGAATAACGGAGATTACCAGATATTTTCTAACAAAGGATGAGAGCTGTGGCCTTTACAAAAAGCCCAGCGGGGCTGCTCGCTGCAATGGTGACGTTTCACTCGTCGGGCTTTATTGTGTAAACATATTTGCACAATTTCCCGAAATGCAAATGCAGAGATGTGAAGAATCTGGCTTTTAAACCTCCAAAAGCTCACCCTCTTCCATGTCATATGCTAGGTGCGCACCATAAGGACATTTGTGAAGCCGATGCCAAGTCGGTCTGCTGGGTGACAGATGGGAGAGGACGTGGCTGAAAGAGAGGAGGCTGCATCGCTCAAACGGCAAGCAGGGTGTCTTCATTAGGCCGCTGAATTATTAATTTTTTGTAAACAAACGAGCGATTGTTTCGTGACGACGAGTTCGTGAGAAATATTGAATGTCCTATTTTGCGGTTGTCTTTGCTGTAATTGACAGCAAATATTGTTTCACAGAGGTTGCTGTGGGGCGTTGGGACCAAGCCTAAGAAGCGATTATGAGACTGTCAAAAATTTATGAGCGACAGTCATTCAACTGGTTTCAGTGAAATTCTGCTTGTAAGTCGTGTTTTCGTGACTTTCTGGGTCGAGCGCTCGAGAGAATACGAGCTGCACAGTTGTTTTTATTTTAAAGGAGAGGTTTTGAAATGTGGGGAAATGTCCTTATTTGCTGTCTTGCCAAGAGTTAGATGAGAAAATAGACATCTGTCTTATCAGGAGAGTTGCTATGTTTGGTCAGAGCTGCTCAACCCTGCTTTTACAGTGCTTTTTTGTGCTAAGCTAAGTTAGCAAACTGCTGGCAGAAACTTCATCTTTGACGTAAATCAGTGAAAGTGGCATCGATCGTCTTTGTCGAGTCATGAGATCAAATATGGGTCAGTTTAACACTTTGCAGGTCTGTTTTTATGCTAAGCTAAGCTAGCCATCTGCTGGCAGAAGCTTCATCTTTGGCGTAAATGCGTGAACGTTGCTTCGATCGTCTTCACGGAGTCATGAGATCAAATATGGGTCAGTTTAACGGGTTGCAGATCTGCTTTTGTGCTAAGCTAAGCTAGCAAAGTGCTGGCAGAAGCTTCATCTTCAGCGTAAATCAGTGAAAGTGACATCGATCGTCTTCACGGAGTCAAGAGATCAAATATGAGTCAGGTTAACGGGTTGCAGATCTGTGTTCTGGCCGGGTCTAGACTCCCCCCGTCCGATCAAATGGTAAAATCCAACCACATAAAGGCAAAAACACAGAAATGGAAAATTGGGATAATTAAAAAAACTGTTTATTCAAAAATCTAATTCTGAAGCAGCCACCGAAACACGACCAATTAAACATGAAATTAAAAGACTAATATCCATTTGTGAAGTAATCAAAAAACAAAACAAAGGATAATTAAAGTTTCGAAGCTATTTTTCGTTTGATCTGTTTGGATGATGCGACTTAAGGCTCCCTGTGCCAGCACGGTCCAAACACATGCATGTTAGGTTAACCGGTGATTTTTAATTGGCTGTAGGCGTGAGTGGTTGTCTGAGCTGGCGATCTGTCCAGGAAGTTCCCCGCCTCTCGCCCAGCGTCAGCCGGGATGGACGCCAGCCTCCCACGACCCTCTGCAGGACGACAGCTCATGGATGGATGGACGGATTGGAACAAAACTGAACCAAATCTGCTCTTCTAAACTAGCAAAGCTAATTCTGTTTATGAATAACTACTTCAGCCGTGTTGTGTCGCTCACCCGTGTTCGGTGGCGCACAGGGAGCGCAGACTGAGGTACCAGGTGCCGGTCTGTGGGTAGGGAATCCTCAGTTTGGTGATGTTAGCGGAGGCGTTGACGGAGAGGAAGAACCCGGCAACCGATTCTGGAAACAAAGACAGACCAGTGCAACACAACTTTACCTTGCAGCCCGTGAATGCGGCGATCATCCAGGTTGAAGTCGACGTACCTGATTCGCACTTGAGCGACGAGTTCTCCCGCAGGAACAGCGGCATGCCGTGGTTCAGGCAGCCGAACACGGTCAGGTTCGCTCCTTTCAGCGTCGACTGCGGAGAGGAAGCACAAGCGAAACGTCATTCATCCGTCCCACCATCAGCCATCTGCCGCCATCACGCCGGCGTGCAAACACCGACTACCTCGGGCCTCTTTCCCCTTCAGCCACGAGACGGTAAACTTTAAAACTAACAAATCAAGTGAAGCTGCTCTCTCTCCCTCCCGCTCTCCGCCCGAGGCACCTAAATGAAGATGTTGGCAGTTTATCTCCTTAAAGCATCAATTATACATTAACATGCTCATACATTGAAAAAATCCAGGAGAATTATTCAAGCTGTGGGAACTGCATACGCTTATACAAATTGGCTCGTTCTGCGGAGAGGTGAGCGGAGGCCACTACAGTCGGATTCGGCGTACCGGTGGAACAACAACAGGAGCACAAACAGCGGCGACACACCGGATGCGTTCACGAGTGCACTCCAGCACCAAAACATGACACTCCATACACTCCTCCTAACTTATGCACAGCGTCTCTGTCTTTGGGAACGAGGAGAAGTGATTTACAACTGTTCTGTGGAAAACTATCCGACAAATCCGGAAAGTGCACTCGACATCGGTAGAAGTCCTTTCAGCTCAGACAGAAACTTCAGCACGTTACCCGTACGCGCCGCTTTGTGTGCAGAGGGTGGTTGGGATGACTTCAGGCAATTATTTCTTGAATAAATAAGATTTCTACCGCCCCCCTTAGCATAAAATGAGCATAATGTATATGCAGGGAGTTGGCAAAGTTGTTGATTAATGCAATGACTAACAAACACTTTGCCAGGTGCTGAGATTTCAGGCTTCCTAAACTCACCATCTGGCCTGTACTCTCCCGGTAGTAAGACTAAATCACGCCCACTGGCATTTTGAGATGGTCCCTCCTCCTCCTCCTCCTCCTCCCCTTCCTTCGTCCTGACTTCTCCTCTAGCTTGAAGATGAAGGATTAAGCTAGTATGGAGAACCGAACGGGCCCAGCAGACACCGAGGCCTCCAAAGGCAGATTCTGATTGAACGAGCTCAGACGGTTTTATCCAAACTCAAATATCTGAACAACTACGAGGTGGACTGGTATGAAATGTACAGCAGATACTCAGGATGTCTGGGGGGTGAATTCTAATGACCTTGGTGATTCAGAGGCCTTCGTGGTCCCCAGAGGACAGCGCCACCATGAAGCTGACCTTTGTGCCGCAGAGTTAAATGCCCACAGCTGCCGTGAAGTTTACAACAGATCTCTGAGGTCCACGGAGGATCCGTTCTGTGGTCTTCTGACAATTATTCTAGTGAAAACCAGCAGGTCAGATTTAAATATCTCTGGGATGGATCTGCAGAGAATTCGGAGCAGACTAATGGTTCCCTGATGACGACGAACAACAACTTTTGTTTTGAGGTTGACATTCAAGTTCCTCACCAGCACGTCTCAGCAGCGACTGGATGACGACTGCTGGTTTTTGTGACTTCAACACATTCACGGTCCCCAGAGGAGGAACTGTGACGGCTGTTCTATTCAGCAGGTCGAATGAGACGGGACGAAATCCTCAAAGTTGTTGTTTCTGGCCCAGAAGAAGCTCTACAAAGGACTGGTATGACCCAAACCTTTTTCTTTAGGATCTCACTGTGTTTCTTCTTCTCAGCCTGTCCTTTACTTAACAAGAGAAACACCAGGAAATAAAAGTTCTTGTGTTTCAGAATCTCATCACTTGTTCTTAAAGTCACCCTCTGGCCATTGATCAAATCCTTAAAACTCACCTTTATGTGTCAAAGCTACATACGTAGAGTTTTGTACCCATGAAAATGATTCCTCTCTGTCTTAGAATGGCCTCGAAGTAACCCTACCCTGTTGCATCTTTAAGTTTCTGCCTCTCTTCGCTCACTCAAACACTGTAAAACTACTGGAGTTATTAAGCGGGCTGCATGGTGGTTAGCACCGTTGCCTCGCAGCTAGAAGGTCGCTGGTTCGCGTCCCGGTGAGGACACCCGGGATCTTCCTGCGTGGAGTCTCCATGTTCTCCCCGTGCAGCGTGGGTTCTCTCCGGGTTCTCCGGCTTCCTCCCACAGTCCAGAAACATGCTGAGGTTAATTGGTGATTGTAAATTGTCCGTAGGTGTGAATGTGAGTGTGCTTGGTTGTCTGTCTCTAAGTGTAGCCCTGTGATAGACTGGTTACCTGTCCAGGTGAACCTGCCTTCACCCTGACTGTCAGCTGGGATAGACTCCAGCCCCCCATGACCCTGGTGAGGATGAAGGTGGAGAGATAATGGATGGATGCTTGAACTGGAAACTGATTCTGAAGAAGAAAAAATATCGTCGGCACACTCTGGCTTCAGGGTGGCAACGCTCAGCCATGACACCGACTGCTTATTTCATCACAATACATCTTAAAACCACCACATTGGCAAGTTTACAGGGTGAATAAAACCCCTGGAGGTGTCTGTGTGATGACTTCACTGTGCACGGCGAGGTACAAACTAACATCAGGGGTTTTCTGACATTTTTCTTCCGTTGCCACGACTAAAGAGAAGAAATGAGTTTAAAGTTCCTGTCATATTTTAAACTAACAACAAATACACGTTGGAAACATTTCCCATGAGAGCGCTCTCACTGTGTGTACAAATAAAAAAGAAAACCACATACCTTAATTAAAATTCTTAGCATCTTCTGTCTTTTTGATTACAGTCAGGCTTTTCTCAAAGGCATCTCTCTGGAATTTATCCTCAAAATCTATCACCGCACTGGAGCTCGTTTTATTTCATCGCTGCCTTTGTGTACATTCCTGTTAAATACGATGAACTGCCGATGCTGCTTCTTGACAGTTTGTCAAGGTTCAGCGAGGATTCAGCTTCATGCCATCTCATATAGACTAACACATCCCCATATGGTGCCTTCACCCCACCGAACCCTTTAACTCATACTGGGATTGTTTTGGGGTTGAAAGTTGTTGTTTGGGTGGATCGTACTGAACAAATGAAATGTAGGAGCTCATATCTGCAAACCTAAACTGGATTTAATGATGCAGCTCAGGTTGCTGCAAGTCCATCAGAATTAAAACACTAAAGTATTATTCATCGTTCTCTACAGGTGGTGACAAACCATGATGAGGGCAATAAAGGCGACAGAGAAAAACGTTGATTTATCTCTAAAGAACTGTAAGAAGCTGCCACCGGTCTGCGGTATGCTTGTCCTCATACAGTCGAGGTGGAGGCATCTCTCAGACGGTGTGTTTTTCAGAGCTGATGATCTGTTCCGCCTCTAATAACCTAATAAGAGATCATTTGTCAAAGTTAACACCTTAACAAATGATCCCTTTTCGTTACGTCCCTGTAAACATCCTGTTTCTCCGGAAAAACACACGACATCACGGAAGCCAGATTATCTGGAGATCCAGATGATTAGCTCGTGATAGGTTTGATTTATCATCCGAACCACTGGAAACCAGGAAATTCCTGTTTCCTTTGTTTTAAACTCCCCTCTGCCGCTCCGCGTGGAGCTGAAATTAAGATTTTGCCGATAACTTCTGAGGCTCGGCTGTATAATTTCCCTTCAAAAGGACTGTTCCTCAGCGCCCTGCACAGAGAACAGCGTTCTGAAATACCTTCAGCTGTCGGGGCATTACCGGATCCGCTGCTCATCAGCATTCGTCTCCTGTTCTGCTTTAAGCACTGTTTTAAAGTTGTGTCTGGAATCTGAATGTAAATGTTGCAGGGGGGGGTTTATTTACTGCCTGTACGTGTAAAGCGCTTCGTAACGTTGTTGTGAACATGCTATATTAATTACTCCTAATACTGTGATTTATATGCTGCATCCATTGTGCAGCTGTTGCTTGTGATGGCTGGATGTGAGTGGCGGAGACATAATTCAATCAGGAGAGCTGTCTACCAAGCAAGCAGCGCTCAAGGTTACGGACTGGAGAGTACACATCTATTCAGAAGCGCCGCTACATTAACACATCCGCTCTGATCGCAGGAATTAAGAGAAGAAACTTGTGATGAACGCCAGCGCGTCTCTCCGCCGAGCGCTCACGTGTCTTTCTCGCTTCGTTTTATTTCCCAGGAGTTTCTGCGGATGACACGTGCCGGCAGCCGGGACACGACGCCAAGTGATGCAAGAAACATGGATGGAGCTGGCGTGTGCGCCGTACGCGGCACGTCCCGGCGCCCAAACTAATTAAGTAACTTGGTGATGGATTTCTGATAAATTAAATATGAAACCGCCGTATGTTCTGACTGGTGGCTCCAGTGAGAAACGCTCTGAATGCTGCTTGGCAACAGAAAACGTTTCTGAAAGTTTGTTTTTTTTCCTTCATTTGGCTTCGATTCAGAATTTTAATTCAACAACAAAGAACAGATGAAACAGATTAATGGAATACATTAACAATATTAGATAGTCTTGTGTTTGCTTATTCCTTCATATATGTGCGGATAAAGAAGTGCTGCTCTTTGCTCTATGTTTATTTTCACACGTATGACTCTCACTGGCTCGTAATAAATGTAGAAATAAATGTGTGCACAGCAAATAATCTGCGACTTGCCCAGATTTAAAATCTTATTTTTAGACACAACAGATAATTTGGCTTGTTTTAAAAGTTATTTATTCATTTTTAGTCCTTGATTTTAACAGTACACTCTTAAATTGAGCATTAAAAATCTGATTTCAAGATTTCTTATCAGGTAAAATTGACTTGCTGCATGAACAGATCATTTTTAAAGTAATTTTCTTCTCAAATGTAGTGTTTATATCTTATATTTGGGCTGCCCTTTGAAAAGTGTGCAAATAAATAGAGATAAATCATTTATAAATAAGTAATTACATACAGAAAAATGTATATTATTACGTATTTATTTATAATTTATTGAGAAATGTAGCTATTTTTAAGGCATTATGTGTATTTTCCACGTCCCGTTCGGACCGACGTACTCAGAATCTTATTACTTCAACAAGAAAACCACCGATAGCGTCTCGAGCACTAACGCTCATTACAGCGCTCGCATTTCCCCCTTTTTTCTGCACCAAAACCTACCGAAAGAAAACTTTTGAGAGATGCCTCTAAAGCGATTATATGGATGCACTTCCAGCGGAGGTATCAGTGGCAATAAAAGCCATATGCATTCCTTTCACACTGTCGCGCAGAGAGTGATGCAAGGCAGACAAGCAGCGCCAGCTATTGTCTCCTAAAGCCCTGCAAATCTGCCAGAGTCCCCCACCGGCGGCGGCTGACTGGATTCTGTGCCTGTGACAAGCACGGTGACAGATCATCGCTGAGGGGGGAGAAATCTGTCCATAGAATAATATAGCATGACAGGCTCTCTGAAGAACACGTCTCGCGGCTCGTACAACAATCACACGAACCAGGTTTCATGGCGGCGTCTTAAAAATCAAGCAGCTATTTGCACTTGTGACTGTACTAGAGTGGAGGGTGAGCGGGGTCACGGTCAGTCGGGCTGATATTGCGGCGCTCGTACAGATGAGTACAAACAGATGTTCTCCTGAGAGGCCTGTAGGATGAAGCACGCATCCATAAACATGAGGCTGAAATGACCACTCCACAGAGGAAGGAGCGCGGCTGCCATTTAAACTCGCCGTGACCTTTGTGGAAGGTGACGGCGGACACGTCCACCGAGCGGCCGCCGCTCGATAAACCGTCAGATTAATTACAGTCAATTATTTTTCATTTCCTCTAAAGTCCACTATTTGTGTTTTTTTTTTTTTGCTGACATTTTGGGAACTAAGTCTGTTTGCTTCCTTACCAGGGGTTAGATGAGCAGATTGATTATCAATTTCATCTGTGTGTGTGCAGCAGAGATGAAGGATGTGTGTTTAGCTTCGGCTTATCGCAAAGTCTGGGAGCAGAGAAGCAGCTCGGAGGCTTCAAACACGGCGTTTTTACATATAAAGCTGCGCCCGGCGATTATTTTAACGATGAATCCGTTGAACATTTTGTCCGTAAAATCTTGAGCGGAGACTTTTTTTTTTCTTTTTGTTAATTTCAGAGTTGCTGGAAGGGCAGATTTTTTTCTTCCTTTCTGAACGTCAGCTGTTTCCTGCCTTTTGTTAAAGCATCAGGACTGTAGGCTAAAAATGTCCTTGACCAATATCTTTTTCTGAATACAGAGGAATGAAACTGATATCAATCTAACTCCCAGGAAGGCAATATTTCCCAAAATGTCAGGATATTCCTTTGAACCAAACAATCAAAGATATCTGTTCGGGGCTTTTGCGCTTCATCCTCCCGTTATTTCAACACTGGCTGCCTCGCTTTTTCTATTAAGAGTGAAATGTTTAAAAGTCCATCTGCCAGCCTGTAGCTCTCCAGTTTCTGGCTCCCTGCAGACCTCCAGAGCCACTGCAGGTGCATTCCTAATGCCATTACTATCTGAAGGACAGATCAACAGAGACAAATCAAATCCTGCTTGGCTGGTTTTTGCATTTTGTTCGCTCTCAATTAGAGACATATGTCACAAGCCCAAACACTGGCGCCTGTTTCATTGTGAACTTTTTCAGTTCCCACAGCCTACGACCATACGTGCATCCATATTTAGCAGGCTAGCTCAGCCAGACACTTTGCGGGGCCCAATTATTCACCCTTGCTAGCTGGGGATTTTCTCTTCACTAACTGTTGCATATTTAGTTTCCTGATTGCAATCTGATCCCTCGCAACAGCGAAGCGTAGAGCATGTGCAGGGTGAGGGTGGCAGCAGAGCCCCGGCCAACGTCTTGCAAATGCACAAGCTGCTCCGGCGCATAACGGTATTTTACTAGCAATGCTTTTACATTTTTTATTCTTAAAATATCAAAGGAACAATTTAATCAAAGCGTCCCTGGATTCCTGTGGACCGTCTGTGGGACTCACCATGTTGAGTTTGAGCTCCATGTTGAGGACGCCGCCGCTGTCCAGGACGGGCATGAGGTTGATGGCGAACACCGCCGCCCTGTCGGGTGGAATCGATATGTTCGGGCCGAAGAAGACGTAGAAGTGCACGGAGAAGGTGTCCAGCTCGTTGCGGAGGGTGGGGCGGATGGGCCAGCACTTGTTGGTGTCTGCGGTGGGGGCGAGGTAAACGATGCTGTCTTCTGAGGTGTGCAGGTGGCTGGCGTTCTGGGACAAGCTGGGCAGAGCCGCCATCAGCAGCGTCTCCGACAGGGAGAAGCCCATCGCCGTTCCAAACGACTGAGGCATGTTCATGGAGGAGCTGGGCTGGGCTTGGTCCTTCGACAAACTGGGCTTGGAACAATCTGTTCAGGAAAGGAGAATCTCATTCGTAACGGAAATCAATGAAACCAATTCCTGCACAAGCCGAACACGCTGGTGAATTTTCACCGGCTTGTTGCAGAAGAAAGATGCACCTTGTGTAACGTCGTAATCCCGATCATAAAATCAAATAAGCAAAAGAATTCTAACAAACTGGCTCCGCTCGGCGTGCCAAGCAACCGAGTCTTTTGCAAATGATCCCCCTCGGCTGGCTTCCACGACGTTTACTGGAAGGTTCAGCGGCGTACACTGCTTTTTAATGAGCCAAAGATTCACTGTAATTGCAAACAGTATGCTTTCACTCAACACAAAGCAACTCACTGCAAAATGGTCATTGATGGCAACTGGCAAAGTACCATCAAATACCGCCAATCCCCAAGGGGAAAGGATTTCAAAGGCTTTTGTAGCTCAGCCTCGTTTGCATAGTGTTGTCTGTGAAAGGGTTTGAAGTATTTTGATGTCCATTCAGGAAGCTGAAGCACTCCTAAAAATACCGAAATTCCAAATACCGCAGGCTGGAGACAAAAGAAACTTTGGTAAGTAAAATCAGTAAAGAGCCGTTTATAGAGCGCATGTATATGTGAGGAGGACCGGCGTGGGTGGGCGGCGGGGGGAGGAGGGCCGTGTAAACATACAGTTTCATAACATTCATAATCCAAAGAACTGGATTCTTCTTCTTCTTGTTTTTTTTTTGCTTCCATAAACAGCATAAATCATGAAGTCTCTCCGCTGCCCAGTCATCTATTGAGGGCAGGACACCTGCAGAGAAAACGCAGTACAAACAACAATAATGAATAATAAAGTGCAACCTAGTTTCACCGCGCTCTGTCTCGCCAGCCACGGCGATACCTGTAAATTGGACCGAATTCAAATGAGGGCACATATTTCTGAGACGCCTCATAACAACAATCACAAATAATAGAAGCGTAAGAAGGTGACGACTCCAGATGGTCGTCTCCCTGAACCTGAGGTGTTCTTCAATTTAAATCCACAAAAGGTCAAGTAAGATCTGCCTGGCAGGCAGGAGGAGGAGAGACAGAGTGTGAATAATTAGTGTCTGTGTTGCCATGGTGACAAAGTGCACTGTACAGTGTGAAACAGAGGGAGGGGATCACTACATGGGAGTGGACTTCCCACAGATTTGTGAGCCATCCCTGCGGAGCGAGCATAAAGAATATCTCGGCTCTCCACAACCCCAAAACAGCGTGTAGCACTTAAGCAGGGTATCACTGGCCTCTCAGCGATCCCGCATGAATCACCTCAGTTTGGGCTCCTCGAACAAGCCTCCTAATGGTCCGGCTGTGTCTGGCCTCCCCTTCCCCATCAAAACACGTGTCCAGAAATCAATCGCTGGCCCACATACTTCATCTGTTAAAAGCATTATCGTCTGGGACACGCCACGTTTGGATTTTTTTTGCTCCGGTATGAGTAGAACACCTCAGAATGGTTTTTTAATCACGAGCCAATTGAAAGCCGACATCCTTTATGCTTCGACTGCACAGTTTTTTGGATACTCGGATATGATGCGCTGCAGAGATCCACTCTGAGCTTTTGTGTACGCCTAATTTACGAGTGCTCAGATTTACAGAGACCACCCCGGCATCGCCTTGAATTAAAACATCCAAAGCAGCAGGAAGGGAAAAAAATAATGAAAAATGCTGGAAGCTAACAGCTCGCAGACCGCGGCGATAAACAGCGTCGCAATTTATGTGAAAATAACGAGAGAGAGAGAAAAGAGATATGCAACACATTACCTCTAATAAATCATTAAAAAATTTTGGTTTAATTGGTAAAATTGGTAAAGTAGTCTCATTTACAAAACAGTCTGCACGGCGCTGTACGGAAACACCCGATGGGAATAAACCGAGCACGCAGAAGATTGTAAATTATTCTCACCAGTGTGTTAAAACGGCTCGACTTTAAAATAATGAAAGTAATGATAAATGTAAAAGCGACCTGTGATTCTTCATCATAAATGTCAGGCAGGAAACTTCGGCAATGAGCAGAATAACTATGAGCAAATAACCGGAGCTTATTCATAGTTAAAACTGCTGCTGCTTTTGATGTGATATGTAAATGTGTTACTATTATTATTGTCATTTTTCAAAGCGTTGCGGCGATAAGGTACGCCGCCGCCGCCGCCGAGGAGGAGGAGGAGGAGGGGATCCTCTTCTCGGTTGTTAGTTCAATATCACACAGTGAAATGAAATGGATTTCTTTTACAGCTACAATGGGTGTTTTTTTCTTTCTCTTTGTGACTCTTTTTTTTCCTGCTTTCCTTCAATTTGGACGTTTGATAGATTGGGAACGAGTTGATAAAATACAGATAATCTACGTATAATATGCTAACATAATGTCCTTTCATTGATATAAAACCATATAATGCAACTTTCAAAAGGAAGAAATAACACATATAATGTGGTAGAAATGAAGATTTAACATCATTAGAAACAGAAAAATAAACCTTTTCTTAATTTGATGGACTCTTTGTTTACATATTTGGTGAAAAAGTGAACAAATCGAGTCGTTCATGGAACTGTTTTGGTTGCTGTTCCACCAGAATCAGGATTAGGGTTGGCTCAGGTGGTACAGCAGGTTGTCCTCCAAACACAAGGTTGGCGGTTTGATCCCCCGCCCCTCCACAGTGGAAGTGTCCTTGGGCAAGACACTCAGAAGTTTGCATGGCAGCTCTGTCGCCATTGGTGCATGAATGGGTGAATGAGAAACACACTGCTTTGGATAAAAGCGCTACACAAGTGCAGAACCATTTACCAGCTCTGACGTAAATGAATGGTCATAATGATAACATCCACTCATTACTATCTGTGTCTTTAATGTGTACTAATACCAATAACAGAACCCACGTTGCTGCTTTAAACTCAGCATGATGAAGTAAGAACTAAAGAAAACCAAACCTCGCCAGCTCATCAATCACATTTTGCCCGCTCACCTGTGACCTGCACCCCGATGCGGAAGTAGACGTCGGAGTTGCTCAGATATCTCTCCACCAGGATGTAGTACCACTGTTCCCAGGCGGGGACCAGGGTGACTAATTCACAAGGGTTCCACTCCCTGCAGTCGAGGGCACTTGAGTTATGCACCGGCGGCGCCCGGGCTCTTATCTTCAGCACCACGGGACAACTGTCGCTGCTCTTGTTCTTGGTGCTGCAGTTTACCAGCTGGACCTTCACCTTTGATATATAATTGGGGATGAACACTCTGCGCAGACACACACAGACACACACATTAGAACCACACAGCAACACACAGAGCAGCACAAGATGACGTTTATTTTAGACAAAGAAATTGTTGGAAAAAAAAGGCCTCGAGGGATAGAAGAGAACAGCACGTCTCTGCCATCATAATGCAGTTATATGAATTACCTTCATGGCAAAGCAGATAAACTCATGCTTTTGCGTTAACTTCACCACTAATATAATCTTTTTGTTTTATTTGAATTAATGGCCCTTTGGACATTTTCGCCCGTCCTGCAATAACCGTATTGCTCCTCGGTGCTCTAAATGTGAAAAATCTATCATTTTTATATATACAAACAATAAAGGCCAACGTGTTTAAAAAAACCTAAATATGATGCACACGTAATATTTAACTAATAAACATTTCAATTCCCTCTCACATCATTCTTTTTTACGGAGCACTCACATAATACTGCCTCTCCTTACTTGAAGCGCCGTAAAAAATTGTGGAAAAAAAAAAGAAAAACGAACATAAACCTGGAAGAAGGATTCACGCGGCTGGAAGCGGAGGGAGGGGAGGTTGGTGTAGGTGTGCCGGCTATAAGCAGGCGGTGAAATTGCATCTTTTTAAAGTAAAAATGCAAGATAAGCTTATAGAGGAAAAAAAACTCCAGGAAAAAGCATAAGTTAGGAGGCAGATGAGGGATTAGACCGGAGAGGGAGGCCCGCAAAAAGCATTTTCTCCTCCTGGTGCATAATTTCAAAGTCAAGCCATCCTTGCTTTTTTTTTTTTTTAAGGGTTTGTTTTGGAAGTTCAGACGGAAGACTTACTTATAAAGAGCAGATCTGTTGTGGACCGGGATCATCTGGTCAATGAAGTATCCGGGATAAAGCACTGAGATCCCGATCAGCCTCTGGACGATGAGCTGAGGCTGGAACAGGTACTGGCACTCCTCAGACAGACCCTGTGACCACAACACAGCAGCAGCAGCAGTTTAGATGCTATTTTTGTGGTTAACTCACCAATTTTCCTTAAAAGCTAGTAAGGAGGAGATTAGATATCATTCAGACTGACTGAAAATTCCTAATAGACTGTGTGCATTAGTCCTGTCAGCCTGCTGGATTAATATCACTCTGTCCTCCCCCTCCCTGCCACGCACCGTAACATGCACCCACTATTTCACTGGTGCTGTTCTGAGCCATTAATGCTCGATGTGCATTACTCTGCGAGATGAGCCGAGCAGCCGGAATGACTTAGAGCCAGGAGAGCGTGCATTGTTTCTGCTGTAAAAAAAAAATAAAAAATTTGTTTGCAAAAGGGAGAAAAAGAGGCCGTTTTGCACCTGATTGGAGAGGACGGAGGGACAGGTGTGAATGCCAAATTGGGTCCTTCATTCCTGTCAACTGATCACTAACCCCTCCTGCCCGAGCCACAATTACCGTGGCATGTCATTAGTCTGGGAGCTGCCGGGGTGACCCTTTGATTTATTACAGCCTGTCAGTTGGACCTGCACATGCGTCGTCTTGTGGAGCAAGTTGTGTTTTAATTAAGGCTCAGCCGCTGTGGGTTTTTGAAGGCCGGCGCCTTCCGATGGCGCTCAGGAGCCTTAAATTTGACCATCCTCGCACCAAATAGGATATAGCCGTTCGTTTATTTCCCCCAGAATTTCAAGTCTTGGCAAGATGTTAAAGCCTCTAAAACTCCATTAAAGCCATAAAGCACTCAAACTCCCCAATGAAACCCTGACTAATTGCATTAATTTAGCTCCTTCAGTCAGAACTGCCCGCTGAGACGACGCAATTTTAGGGTCAGCTCAGGGGTATAGCGAGTTTCCAGTTTATTAGGTATACCTGAACAATCTAATGCAACCCGTCGCAACAGCGCTGCAATAAATGCAACCTCTGAGAGCTCGTGTTCGGCTCCGCTGAACTCCACGATCATTTTCTTTGTTAAAAACAATGAATTTAGCAATTAGCTGCTCGTGAGGCGGTCGAACGCGCCGGGGATCGCCTGAACGGAAGAGACGCGCTCGTCATCTGGAGAGTCGTAAATCTCCAATCTTGTTTTATAAAGAGAAACATTCCAACTGCAGTAAGGACGTTTCAGCACAGTGCAGAGAACAGACAGAGGCAGGTTTTTTCTCTTCTCACTGTTTTCTTGCTGTGCGCTAAGTTGGGTATTTAACTGGAATTGTTATAAATGCAGCGCGCATCCCCCTGTTCTGCTTGCACTGCTTCCATTTGTGTTTCCATTCCGAACTGAAAGCATCTTTGTAGCTAGAAAATTGCCTCAGAAAGCAGAATTTGGAAGAAGGTACGCCATTTCCATCTATAGAGTGTGTCATTTAAAGCCGGTCACATTTTAGCCGCGGCCGCCGTCTATTCCCAGCGCCCCCAAAGCAAACCGTTTCCTTTTGTGCGTTTGATGTCGATGGCAACTTCTGATGATATTTTTTTTTTTTTTTTTGTGATTGTTATGTATTCCAGGTGCACTTTTGCCAGCCAGAGGAAACCACAAAGGAAGAACAAGTGAACGCCATGCCAGTGACAAATAAATTGCCTGAAATGGAAATCAGCAGGTGTTTATGCAGCCAAATAGGAGAACATGATGAGATGAAGAAAAACTCTCTGACACTGTTCTGCCTCTTTAGGCTCTGCAGCACAAGCCGGAATACTAATCCCAACAACTACTTACATCATTTCTATTTGATTTTTTCTTTTTTCACATCATAAAGGGGAAGTTAAGTAACCATGAAAAAAAATCATTTAGATGTAGATCTCATTAAAGTCACGTTACGTAACACTTCCACATAAATAAGCTTCCGTTTTACCAGCGATGCACGCCGCCACAGCAGCGACTGGAGCTTTTCATAAACTGCTGACGCTGGACGGGGGGGAGGCCTGTTGTGTTTTCAGCCAAGCTAACAGCACGGCTATAAAGACGGCAATACTGGTGTGGCGGTTCAACATAAAGACAGATTTATTGGCGGTATTTGTTTTGTCACTGGATCTCTACAAAGTTCAGTGCAGCAGCAGCAACAAACGGACCTGCTGCTAGCGCCCACCGGCTCCCCTGCTAATGTTCGGGCTCACCTTGACTGAGATCTTGCCTTCATCCTTGGGCAAATGCGCGGCCAGGAACCAGTCTCCGGGGAGAGGGCTGGTCACGTTGAACGCTCCCGTCGTACGGTTCGGCAGGGTCCAGGTGAGAGTCACGGCGAAGGACCCCGGGACGACCGTGTCCCGAGGGAAGCGGGTGTACAGGGGGTTGATTACAGGAGGAGCCCCGGACCTGAAGTACCTATTAATCACAGAGCAACAATCCCATTCCCCGTCAGGCTCCTCGTATTTTAAGAAACAACCCAGACATCTGCCAAACATAAAAAACTCCTCTATAGGAACAGCTGACAGCCTGAGCGCAGATGGCATCTCCTATTTAAAATATGAATAATTCAGATTCAGATAATAATCAGCTCTACATATCTGAATGGAAGAGCCAAGCCCATCGCACAAGGGGAGCAGAAGAGTTACTTGAGATACCAGCACTCGTGAAAAACACCGCTTACCAACATGATAAAAATAGAAAGGCGATATTAAAAGGCTTAATGCAGCTAATGCTTTAATAGAAGTTTCTCCATATGTCGAGGCTGTCAGCGATAGTCTCAGGCTCAGATTCTCTAATCTCTCCCCCACAGGTGAGCTGTATAAGATGCTTATTATTATTATTATTATTATCTATTTAGCCCCGAGAGAAAAGAGGGAAACTTCAACAAAAGGAAGGCTTTGGAGCCGCCTCACAGAAGAAGAAGAGCAGCGTTGCATTGTCTTACACAGTCACATTGCGGTTGGGGCAGCTGTCTCCGAACGTGCCCCCTTGCTCCTTGAAGGTGATGAGGTTCCATACGGCCATCATGGTGTCATCAGGCACATTGAAGTGGAACAGTTCCACACTGGCGAAGGAGTTGAAAGCATTCAGCTTACGAGGCGTACGGGTGAAGTATTCAGTCACAAAAAGGCAATCTGTGGGCGACAGAAGCAGAAGGACGAGGCCCGCGGTACGTCAGCGAGCTCCAGCTTATAGACAATTCCTGTGTTTGATCAACACGACGAAGCAAAGCAGCGCTGTGCTGCTGCAGCACTTCACTGAGGTCTGCGACACTGTGTGATGTTCTCCATGTTTACAGTATTCATTAGCTTATGATGCTATCGCATAGCAGGTAACCACAATGTTTAACGTGTTTAGTTTGGTGTAACTCGAACAAATCATCATCAGTCCAAGAAGAAAACAAACTGATAACTTCATCATGATGGGAGATGAGAAGGTTGTCAGGTTGTCCTCCAATCACAAGGTTGGCGGTTCGATCCCCCGCCCCTCCACAATGAACATTTAACATCATTAGAAATAGAAAAATAAACCTTTTCTTAATTTGATGGACTCATTTGTTTACATATTTGGTGAAAAAGTGAACAAATCGAGCCGTTCATGGAACTGTTTTAGTTGGAAAAGCTGCTGTTCCACCAGAATTAGGATTAAGGTTGGCTCAGGTGGTAGAGCAGGTTGTCCAAGGTTGGTGGTTCGATCCCCTGCCCCTCAATAGTCCAAGTGTCCTTGAGCAAGACACTCAATCTGAAGTTGCGTTCAATGGCAGGCAGCAGCTTGCATGGCAGCTCTGTCACCACTGGTGTGTGAATGTGTGTGAATGGATATTAATTTGGATAAAAGCGTTATGTGAGTACAGAACCATTTACCAAAAGTAATCAGGATTCATCCTCTGGGAACCATGAACCAGGATGAGGGAAAACTTCAACCAACCGGTGGCGCTAAATACGTACAGTTTGCTCTATAAAAACCATCGATTTCTCTACAGAAAGTCCTTGTAAATGATCTAATAGCTGTCAAGAGATTTCAAACTGAAACAAAGACTCTGGACCAATCATCTCGCAGACAGCCCAACGTCGCCACCTCTGGTCACGCCGCTAACGTGACCAGCAACGAGTCGTGATTGACTTTTGCTCACAAAGGCTGAATTCCAGTTTGTCATTCCTGTAAACAGAGCAGCGGCACGAGGCGTCCCTCCGTTTTAAGTTAATAATCACAAGCTTCTCCCTTCACCCGGCAAACTGTTAGCTGGAGAGCCAGATCATCTAAATATGTGATCACAGACTTTAACGTCGTCTCAAGCAGCCGAGGGAGATGTATGTATGCAGGCTCACTCGCGTCCTGCATAATGTCAAATCCTTGGATTACATCCACCAAAGCCTCTGCATATAAAAGCAGCAGAACAAGTGGCAGGTGTAATCTGCCACATTATGAGCCGGGCTGGCATCAAGCTCGCCCAGCGGGTGGGCAAAATCTGGGGGAAATTGCGTGTGAGTCATTTAATTGCTACACTGGAACATAAAGCGTCACCCAGATAAGTGTTATCATAAACATAAACACAAGTAGATAAAAAAGACGGCGGCGGATTTTCATGGAAACCGTGTGGAGGCGCCTTGATGTTCCACCGGGGAGAATGTTGTTTCCATTTGTAGCGCTGCTCCCTTTGTGTCTGAGCATGTCAGCTACTTCTAACACCTGCACTTGCAAAACATGTGGTGACATCTTTCACTCTGTGTGCTTTTCTTTTTGGGGATAATTCATGTCACCTGCAATTTGTACCAAAAAAGAAAAGAGAGATATTAAAATTCCACAGCATTGTTTTGTGTCAGTGAATAAGCTGCACCTCCAACACAGCATGTGGTTCATGTGAGAGTTGGCCAGACAATGGTACCGACGCTGCGTGTTTTCTGCTTTTTGCCTTCACGTTGTTAAAGGAAAAAATAATAAAAACAACAAGTGACCCTGTGCGGCGACAGGGCAGCGAGGTGCGGGCGGCTGAAGGAAGAGGTGCGCTGCTTTCCTAACGCTGGTGTAAAAGGAGAAAAATGGCTCTTCTCAGCTCCTTTATTACCAGTCTTCAAAGCTCGCGTCTGCCTCTCACCTATGGAGGCAACCTTGAATACTAAAACACAGAATATGGGAGCAGAAACTGAGAAGAATGAAGCAATCTTTCCCAGCCCTATACACAGCTCGCAGCCTTCCTTCTACTCTCTCTCCTCTCTTGCAATTTGCATTATACGTGAGCCTTCTCCTGCATTAAGATCCTCCTTTGTCCTTCCATGACTCGGATAACTACGAGTGAGGTTACAGGCTGGAGTGCTATAGGGTGAGTTTGGCACTTAGACTGCTGGAGTCTGCAGTACGCTCGCTATATGTTCTGCTTGTCTGATTACAGAGGAAGCAGACGGGCTTTTCTTTCTGTTTTTTTTTTGCAACAGATCACAGTTGGAAGTTAATGACAGACTGTTGGCTGATTACCCAGTGGTCAGAAGCAACGCTCCAGAGATGCCGAAAAGTCGACAGCTTTGCACATCTGGAAGCAGCGCTGGTGATTATACTGTTCAAAAGAAGCCTTTAAATAAACTGCTCGTTGCAACGTAGCCCTCGTGATCATCAGAAACAAGCTGAAGGGGTGGCGAGGCGGTGCAAGATCCAATTCTTTCAAACTTCTATTTTTCAGACTTTTCTTTTCTGCGGTGCAAAAAAAAATCTTAGGATAAAAAAATCACAACTCAAAGAAATGCACCCTGTGATGGGATCTGCAAGAGGTTCGGTATCGAGGGATCAGAAACAAACAAAACGTGGTTCCTGATAATATGCTTACGTGCCAAAACACGAGGGCTGCAGCGTATTATTCGTGCAATCTTTAGTCACTACTTGATTCTGAAACAGATTTATTGGCCACAAGCTCGTTTGCCAGCCTACAATCCTGAATGCTTGGATAGCTATAGGTGGACATCCTCAACCAGAGCTTCATCTCCAACATCCTGAGCTCACAAAGGCTCAACACATGACAGAAGTAAATTAAAATAACAAACTGGCACATCCATTCTCTCAACCCCCACCATGTGAAATCCCGATTCTGCAACGGAAACGCATCCAAAACAACGATCCGGCAGCCACACACACACGGAGGCTGCGCTCAATGCAAAGGTGCAAAACATGCCAGAGCATCCAGATACGCTTGTTTGTTTGCCAGCTAAATAAAGACCTTTCATTGGGAGATAAAGGCGGCAGAGTGCTTACAGGCTTTCTTACAGCACGGCTCCGAATTCGGTAATCTCTTCAATGAGCACCTCCCTGCCACTGTTTTACTCTGTTAGCGGCTTAATATAGACGTAATCCTGCTTTTTGTCATCTCAACATGAGATTTGCTCTTAAACACTGAGCCGGGTCGTCTTTTCACTTCAGAATTTTTAAAAAATAAAAAGCTGCAGAAGGAGATCCATCCACAACAACAAACCCTTTAACAGAGGCTGAACTTAGCCATGAGAGGTGATCGATTCAGATTTTTTTGGTCAAACACACCCACCAACAGCAACAAAACACCTCATCTCCCACGTCCACGCTGACATTCAGGATCTGTGAACATGTCATTTCTGTACGTCAAAGGCATCAATTACACCCAACTATAAAACATCCTCCTCACTGTGACACAAACAAAGCAGGGCAGGTACAAAAACAGGTTAAAGTGGTGAATTGAGCTGTTAGTCTGCAGCCGAGACAGAAAAGATTTCCTCCAAACTGATGGAGCACAACAGCAACAAGTCTGCAACATCCTCACACAGACCTGGACGGTCCTGAGTGACACGATGCTGCAGGTACGGGTTCATTGTTGTCCCACCATCCAGCACTGAGGGTTTTTTTTTTGTTTCACACCAGCAGCAAAGACGTGTTGGTGGATGGACATCAGAAGAAAAACACAAGTGGTTTGTGTCTACAAAACACGTATGTAATGACAGATTCTTGCACTTTGTTTTGGTCACATTTTCAGACAGAATGGAGGTTTTACTGGAGTTTACCTGCCAGATAACAAAGGTCGGACGTAAACATTGCCCTTATTGTGCCATGGCTCTGGTTACACTGTGTACTATCCGTGTCCTCAGCTGCCAACTACAACAACGCAAAAACAACCACAAACAAACAGTAGGAAGGCAACAACAATGGTGTGTCTCCAGCCCCTCACACACACACACACACACACATATATATATATATATATACAGTAAAAGCCCACCACCTATAGCAGCATCTGTCTGTCAGCGCGCTGCGTGCCAAAATTAGCAGCAACCTTTCCCCGTGCGTCACGTAACTGAAGCCCGTTAACGGAAAACCGTTCGGCTGGTGCCTGGATGCTTAAGGAGGCTGTGATCGAGCCACAAACGGGATGCGATGCTGCTGCTGCTGCTGCTGCTGCTGCTCGCTGGGTTGGATTTCAGCACCCCGACAAAAGGAACAGCGAATCAAAGGCAGCAGCGGACGGAGAGCACTCACCTCCAACAGCGCAGAGAGAGGTGTAAACAAGCAAGAGGAGCCTCGGAGGGCTGCATCCGGAGCCCGGCCGCTCCAGCTGCCACATCGTGTTAAAAGCAGGAGATTTCGCGGAGGGGCTGCAGCCCGGGTGCAGTTCTCAGTCGCTGTGCTGGTCTACATTTTTTCAGATATTTGCCAACGACCAGCTGTTTGTGCATGACGTAATTCAGACGACGACGGGACAGCGCCTCCTCTTTGGCTTTGATTTGACAACCTCAATATGTCGACTTATTTCATTGGACCTCCGGCCCTGTCAGTCCGGGGGACGGCGCACACGTAGATTGCACCACAAGGCTCGTCACTCTCCGGAGCCCGGGCCACCGCGCACCGAGGGACCGGAGAGGCGCGCACAGAGGCTGCAGCTGCTCCCGGAGGCTGCGGCTCCCCGCTTCCCCCTCTGGAGCCGGGACGGAGGAGCTGGAGGCAGGAGGGAGGAGGAGGAGGGCGGATGGAGGACTTCACCTCAGCTGATCCTGCCAGGATCTCACAGGCTAACGGTTCTAAACTGGAATCCACCAAAAAACATGAAATAAAAATAATAAAAAAATAACCATTTATCCCCCTGATGCTCACTTCTCACAGATTCATGAGAAATGCTTTTGATTTTGTTTTCAGAAATCTGATCCAGATATGGTGAAATATATTTCTGTGTTCTCTATATTTCAGTTTTTTTTTTCACAGCACAACAAAGTACAAATAACCCTGTGTTCATCTACGCTGTGGTGCACAGCGGGTTCAAATGAAAAGAAAAGAAAAGCTAAAATGAAAAATAACTGTTGGTTATTATTCCTGCTCTGATGTGGAGCCGGTGTGGGTGTTGGGTCTCCAAACACCAACAAAACCAGAGCTAACTGGTCCACGGGCACATTCAAACTGAATTATTGTTGTTCAATTCCAAACATTAACCTCCACAACTCTGCAAATCTAAGCATCTCTGATCCTGTTCACCAGGTGGCCACAGTTTAATCAGGTAAAAATAAAACTACCTTCTACCACCATTGTGGGCCTCAGACAATGACTGAACACTGAGACTGGCTGAAGTCCTCGTCGTGGGGGTGACTCAACGTGAGTCACGAGTGTCTGAGCAGATCTGTCAGCCGGCGAATGAACTCCTGAATCAGGTTCGGCATAATTTATCCGCCATAAATGAATCATGCGACAGATTTGTCAGATCTGAACCGAGAACAAATGTCGCGGAGGGTTAAGGATGCAAAAAAAAAAAAGGGCTGAATTTCACTCGGTGACAAACCGTCGGTGACCTTTCAAAACGCTGCTCTGCTTGTTCGCCGCTAACTCGCAGAGACTCGGACGAACCGCGAGGTCGTAGTCATTCACAGGTTTTATTCAGACTCTGGACCAAAGAACAACAAAACTAACCCTGCATCATATAAATACCAAACAGAACAAACCTATGATTTGTATTGATCTGAAGCAGAGAGATTCACTTTTAGCTCAGCCTCCTCTGCAGCAGTGTCAAAGGTCAGAGTCGGATCCACAACAAAGGCGGCAACTTAAAATAATGCATTTGTTTTGTTATTAACCGGAGAAACGCAGAGTTGAAACCATCGTTACACGAGTTTGGGCTGAGCGGAGCACTTAGCTCGTCAAGTAACTAAAAGGAGGTGAATTAGGAGCTTTAAGACGAGCCGCATTGTTTCGTTGCCGCTAATTTGTCGAGCAAAGAATGCAACGAGAAAATAGTTTTGTCCGTGTGCTTCATTGAGAGAACTGGTGCAGTGCTAGCTGCAAAGTTTGCTCTGAAGTTTTTCTTCAAAGTTGTAAAGATTTCCAGATTCCCTGGATACCGCGACCCACGCATAGCAACCCATTGTCAACGACCGGCCTCGCCATTAAGCGCCGCAACAATCAGCCGGCGAGCAGCTCCACTGAAACGGCCTGTCCTTCTGGAGCTGCAGAAACAAAAAGAGCTTCTTGTTTTTAAACGCACTCGCTGAACAAATTGACTTTTAGTTTTTATTCCTCTCGGGTAGAAGTAGCGCCGACACCACACAGAAACCACTCGGTCATCTGAAGACGGCTGCCAGCGCTGTGGCTTTGGAGGTACAAGCTTCAACACTCGACCCTTTTATTGTTGGATTCATGGTTCTGGTGCTGCGTGAGTGTCTTCAGCCAAAGATATTCAATTCACAGCCTACACGTGGTTGTTATGAAAGTATCTGTCTCTGGCAGTTCGTCCCGGCAGCCTTTTAATCCAGCGTATGCTTGGAAAAGCTGCGATCCTCAACAGCAAAACATTTTATTTTTTTTACAACAAAAGGAAATCTTGCCAGACAAAAGCAGAAACTCACCCGTCTGTGAGAGGACACTTGGAAGCCGACCAGTGAGCTGCAATTAAGAGCAGTCAGAGTCAACAGGAGGTCAGAGTGAGATCATAACTTATCATCTACCCTGATTGATCAACATCGAAGCCTTAATGAATCATCGAGTCATGACATCTACAGAGTTTAGAATGAAATCAAAACCTGCTGTTGGGTAATGCCTCCCACTGCCACCGTGACATTTGGTGGAAAACGAAGGCAGAACCAGGAAACCAGTTTAAAAAAAATTAGTAGTAGGTGGTGGTGGTGGAGGATTGGTGTGTGGGCAGCACACACACACACACACACACACACACATCCTCCATGCATATCATGGCCCGAGCTATTCCTGCTCTCCCTAAGGTGAGGCTCTCCACAGCCACACAGGAGCATGAAGGGCTTCCAGTTAAGCATTTTAACCAGCTGGCTTCATATAAACATTCAAATCCACTGCTGCACCAAATCCCCGGACTCGGAGAAAAGTCCTATGGAGCAAAAAACAGCTAGTTGCTGTTGCCAGAGTGAGCTCAGATGGTCTATACCAACATGTGAGCGCACCAACTGGGCGCAACATGTTCACTTAAAGAGATAGATTGAAGAAATGGAAAAAAAAAAGGAGGAGAGGGCGGCCAGCTGGGAAAGTTGAGAACTCTGTGGCTCGGCTTCAGTGCACGGCCTGAAGATAGAAGACCTACTGGTGCTCACCATAACACAACACTGTTATAAATATGAAGAGCAAACAGAAGAACAGAACCCAGCCTCGTCTCAGATTTAAGTGTGTAGATGGAGAGCTTCAAAAAAAATAACTTCCACCAAACAGCTTTTTAGTTATTAGCAGAACACCACTCTGTGCTTTCTGAAAGACGTTTGGCTTCCACCGTCCCTCTAAAGCCTCAGTCCGTCACGGATTCATGGCTAAACAGCGCCCCCTTATGAAGAAACGCTTCCTCTTGCAGGTGATCCACAATGAGAAAAACAGCAATTTCACATTTTTTAATTCTCCATTTACAGTATTTGATTTTAAAAAACAAACACAACCCACCCACATTTTTACAAGAACAGTTCATTTATAGTGAAACAATAAAGGTTAAGGCACAGCTCAGCAGTGGGAATGTCCCACAAACACACTCTATCCTCTCATCACAACATCTCCTGTGATTGTTTTTTTAGTTTTTTAACCTTTGACGTGGTGACACATCACAAATAAAACTACAGAGACTAGTATAAATACACATCTGAGGTCTATACCTGCACAAGCTAAACCAGCATTACATCCTGAACACGCCGAAACGCGTCTTCTGCGTTGGTGCGTTGAGCGCCGCGCTGAGGCTCAGTCCCAGAACCAGACGGGTATCGGCCGGATCGATAATCCCGTCATCCCACAGCCTGCAAAAAGAAAAATATAATAATAATAAAGTGCTTCACGTTATTAGACGGCACCTCACACCTCACTTATCTGATGCTTCTCGTCCAGCTTTATAATCAATGACTTTAATAGAGTGTCAAGACGTTGTGTTCCTCTCTCCGGATCGCTCATCTGCAGCTTTAACACACTCGTAGAGGTTAAACATAAGTTGATCAGATGCGCATTTCTTTATATTTTCCATCAAAGTTTAGGAGGTGTCGTGAGTTATATATTAAAATGTCGTATAAGTTAACAGTAGTCTGACGTTATATGAAATTATTTTATGTTTTTGCACATTTTAATTGAAGAAACAACAGCATCCTATCTCACAACGACCACACAAATTATTTCACAAATTCTATTAATTTTCCTGTTAAACAAATGCTGTCAGTCGATCCCAAACCCACAGAGGAGCAGTGATCTTCTGGAGCACCGTCCCGCGTGAAGATCACCACCTCGTTAAAAGCTGCAGACTCCTTCTCAAGGTCTCAGAGTGGATTTCCCATCTTCAGCTCAAAAAGGTCTAATTAGCTCAACCTTAACGATAGCATCCTCCTCCTCCTCCTCCTCCTCCACCTGGCTCAGAGCGGTGCCCTGTGTCCATTAGCGATCCGGCCACGGGCCCATCCATCTGCTCCATCAACAGTCGCTCTGCTTTTATCTGTCCATAAAAACCGTCGCCCTCCGTGTACTTCTCGGCTCGATCTTGATGCTTTAACTTATGATTCAGTTTTTGTTTGTCGCATGTCTCATCGTTTGGACTCTGCAGGAAGGTTCTGAACCACGGTGGCACCAGAGGACAACGGGTTCCTGGTTTCATTTCTCAGCTTTTCTTTTGCCACCCTGTTGACTAATCGCGACAAAATGTTTGAGTAACCGCTCGTCGTCAGAAGCGAGCGCTCCAGCTATGTCAAGAGCGTTGCATCCATCTGAAAGGCATTCTACCACCTAATTAGTATGCGCACCGCCGCTCCTCGTTACACAAATGCATACCTGGAAATGACTAAACCCCACGAGCATTTGGTTTGGAAAACGGGCACAGAAATAATTATAAGGTCAGAATTCTCACTTCTAATGAGAATATTTGTGGACAGTAAACCAACAACCATCCTATTCCAGTCCTTAGATAATCAGCAGCTCTGCCTCTAACGAATATTTATTAAAAAACTGGTTAACCAGCAGATTATTAACTAATAATTTAGTCCAATAGATGGCGGCTCTGAGCGAATGATGTTGCACTAAATAACCAGCAGATGTTTGTCAAAACAACCTCAATAAATAATGAAAACACATATTTTATTCAGCTCGTTCATTAAGGGACTAATCGCTGCAGTCAATGGTTTCAAGCGTTACTGATTTACACAAATCTGCTGAACGCCAACATCGTTATTATTAGTGTGGGCTTAATTACTGGTCAATAAAATCAACATCCATCGGGTCCTTCTCTTCCTATTCTCTCCAGTTTTTATCTAATTTACTGTAAAAGGTTGATAGGATTCAAATCTCTTTCTGTTTCAGTGAATATGTTTCCTGTGTGTCTATTTCACTGGAGAACCACGACGCATGCACACAGTATTCACGCCCCTGTGATTATCTGTCGTCTGATCGGCGCTCTGCTCACACATAGGATGAGAAAACCCACAGGACGAAACCAAAAGCAAACAAGGCTCATATTAGCAACACAACAGGACATCTAACGGAGAAGAAAAAACAACCTTGAAACTTCACAGCATTTCTAAAGAGTCCGTCTTGTGGTTTCTCACTTCTTAGAAAAGCAGGATCACACGGTTTATTGAAAAGATTTAAAAATAAATTAGAAACACATGCTGGCGGCTTGTTTGTAGTCCTGAGGCGGTACACTGCAGACATTTAAAGACACACCTGCCGCACACGTGCGACGCTTGGTGACCGGATCTCACCTGGCGCTGGAGTAGTACGGGCTGCCTTCCTCCTCGAACCGCCGCACGATGGGCTCCTTCATGGCAGCCTCCTGCTCCGCCGTGAACTGTGAATAAATGGTGAAAACCGAATTAGGCAGTAAGAAGCCGAGCCAAAGGCGTTTTAAAGGTTGTCTGAATTATTGAACGCGTAGTGAAATGTAAAGCTTAAAGGACACGGAGCGCGGCTGCATCGGCGTGAGAATACTAAAACCGATGCTCGTGAAAATGATAGAAAATAATGAAACCGCTGAGCAAACGCTGGAAGGCTTTTCACCGCCGTACGAACGGGGTGAGCTACTGTAAACATCAGAAACGCTTCTCAGGATGAAATCAAACAGCAACACGACTATAAACAGCTTTTCTTTTTAAAAACATGAAGTAAACATCACAACCTCAGTAACATGTTGATTCACTGCAGGACTGTCCGGAGCCCGTCTGGTGACATCCATAACAAATAAAAAATAACTCGTTCCCACGCATTAGCAAACTGTGGCCATGAGTTGTTAATGCGTGGGAACCATAGACTGTATGAAAGATGGACGTAGCAACCGCCGCTGAAAAATGAAGCCAACCGGAAGTATCAAAAACCTTCAGTCCACTAGCTGCTGGCTCCACAAAGCCCAGATCACAAAATACTGCATTCCTACAGCTCAGGATTGTTTCCTTTTTAGTTTTCATGGTCAAATCCAGAGATCAGGTGGTCAATCTGAAAATAAATCAATACTGAATTTTTATAAAATCGCCAACATGTTGTGGGGCAAGGGGCGTGGCTGGCTTGATTGATGTCGGCAGCGACGATGCAGACGAAGCGAGCAGAAGGCGGTAAATGTGGGCGGGGCAGAGAGGGCCCGCCTCTCAATCCATCTGACCAATCGCTGCTCCTATGGCTCCGCCCCCCTCCCACGATTTTTGGCTCCAAAAATCCAAGATGTCAACCAGGAAGTAGCAAAACCCTGGCTTCATGTTCTCAGTGCAGAAACCAACGGGTGACGTCACGGTAGCTACGTCCATCTTTTATACAGTCTATGGTGGGAACGACATCGTTAAATTGTGGCCTCGCGTTACTAACATGAAGAAGCAAGAGAAGTTGAGGAGCAAATGTCACAGTGCATCATACCAGCTGTGGATTCAGGATGAAACATGGAGCATTTCGATTTGATTTGATTTGATTTTAACCTTGGAATGAACTCCACCGATATGCTGCCATCTCTTGCGATGAAACACCGTGTGATAATTATGTCGTTCCCACGCATTAATATCTTGTGGCCACGATTTACTAACGTCTGGGAATGAGCCATTTTCTTTCTTATCGACGTCACCAGACGGCCTCCGTAGGACTGAATGAGTTTTAGCTAAATACTGGTGCTGGTTCAGGACGCGCTGCCGCTTCACTCTAGCTGCTGTTTCACTCTGACGCAGCGAGCGATGGCACTCGTCTCCTTCATGCACATGTGCAAAAAGCTCTCGATTGTTCACCTGAGTTCAACTGCAAAGACAAGTAGAATAACAATAGCGGGGAAAAAAACCAACGACGTTCCAAATGTATTCGAAAATTGACCCGTAATTAGTTTCTGCTCCCTTTTCATGTTGAACCTTCTCAAACGCCTGTCGTGGGGGCGCCGCCGACGTGAGGTGTCGCTCTGAAGCTATTAATGCGCTCTTAATACACCCATAACAGCACACCTGACACCGTTTAATTACAGCCATCCGCCGCAGCATTCAGGATAAGTCATCGCGCTAACACTTAACACTGATATAATTTTATCCTGCCATGTCAGACCATTACTGAAAGAAAAGTGTCTTTCATAATGTTTATGCTTTTGGCAGCAAATTCCACCGAAGCTAATTCGAACCTTTCCAGCCAGGCGGCAGATGGGATGATTAATGTGAATCATTACCTCCTTTCCCTCGCGTGCCCTCTGATCCTTGGTGATGGTGGCCAGGACGGTGGCTGCCTGCTCGCCGCCCATCACCGAGATTCGGGAATTCGGCCACATGTAGAGGAATCGAGGGCTGCGAGAAGAGAAAGAGGGACAATTTGTTTGCAGACACCAAAAAGGACCAGTAAGATGACAAAAGGACGACATATCATCATTTATGAGGGCTTAACCTGAGAACAGCTCCACTAAACAGTACACAACTCAAATCATAGGTTAATATCATTTTCCAAAAAGCCAAATCCTCGGCGCTTATGCGAGTATTTTAAGAGAACGCTCGGCGCTAATTCCACTAATCTGACAGCGGTGAAAGCTGTGAGTGTGCACATGACGCACACAGTAAAGGGAAGCTCCGCTGATTTTACACACCTTGTTTTTCTGTTTACAAGTCGCGAGGAGCAATAAAGCACGACGAGGAAAGTTGTTTAGAGGCCTCGTGGATCCGCAGGGAGTCGTGCAAAATCTGATAAAACCCGCCTGAAGTGATGACATTTGCAGGTGAAGACTGCACGACACACGAATGTAATGTTTTATTAAACTCTATTAATTCCTTTTAAACACGGGGGAATAGGTTGTTCTAAGATACTGCAGCTCTACAACGGACTGGACATCATGAAACAACCAGGATCATGTGTCAGAGTAATAGTAGCGTGCATCCTTCTGTGGCATCAGACCATTTAAATACATACTGAAGTTGACATTTTTAGCTCCTATCTTGCTGTCTGATGATAAAGGTGTAGATTTGCGGCCTCAGAAACATACATACACTCATGTATTTTGCAGTTTCGGTGGAGCACTCTTGACTAACGAGAAAATTCAAAGCGTCTCGTGAATCCTGCGGTCAGGGGGACATCATCAACCAACCTAAAGGATAATACAGCAGCCCAGAGCGGTAGCAAAAAGTCAGAAAAATCTAATTAAAATCCATGTTCTTTAACATAAAATATGCTTTCAGAACCTCGAAAAAGGTTGAAAATCTCTTTTTACCGCCGTCACAAAAGGCCGCTTCCACCACGTGCTCGTTGTTCAAGGACATCAGATGCAGATTATTCCACAGCTGAACAACGTGTACGCTACGGTTTGTACACTTCAGTTATGCCCACGCGCACACGGAACCATCTTCAGCGGTTCACGGCCGGTCCATTCGCTGGTGTTGTTACTGTCTTTTTTTTTTTTATCCCCACTTCTTCTTACCTGTAGGCTCGGCCGCACATGCCGTAGTTCCCCGCGCCGTAGGAGCCGCCGATGATAACAGTCATCTTGGGTACGTTGGCGCAGGCGACCGCGGTAACCATCTTGGCGCCATCCTTGGCAATTCCTCCCGCTTCGTACTCTCTACCCACCATGAAGCCTGAGATGGAAAACAGAGACGGCAAATAAAAAAACTGGATGCGAGTCTGTGTTGTTGTTGTTGTTATCTCAGGGGAAGGTTTGTGTTAAAGATAAATCAGCAACGTGTTCAGCTGAGGGATTGTTGAGGCAGATTTGTGCTTTTGTTATCATGTGATCTGATTAAGAGTTGCACATATCACACAAAAAAAAGAATTAAATCAAGTCTCAAAAAAATTCCCAAGTGTCAGAAGAATTCCCACAAACCTGTTATGTTTTGGAGGAAAATAAGCGGGATGTTTCGTTGGCAGCATAATTCGATGAAATGCGTCCCCTGGAAATAAAAATTCACATTTTCAGTAAATGTTCTCGACCCCGGGGAGCGACCACCCACAGGTAAAAACACAGACGATAACAATCACCACCTCAAAAAAACACACATAAAACGATAGGATGGTAATGATTTATTTTTCTGGGCATCTCATGAAATAAACAAGAATAGAAAACTCGCCAAAAGAAGCAGCAGCAGCAGCAGCGTAAATATGTAACAGAGAATATATTCAAAGCACACGAGTGTACGTAGTGAACCGCTGGAAGGGAAGTCTGGCCAATAGCCCGCTCAAATGACCCCGTCTGGATCATGGAACGTGTTAAACATCGCCCGAAGTGATGCTTTTGGATCTCCCTGGAGACCAGTTAGCTTCATATCTGGGCTATATGAAAAACTCAATGAAAAACAACCGAGTTAGCGGTCTCGATTCAATCATCCTCGTCATCCGAGACAAAACGAGTCCGGACAAAAACCTCAGGAGAGAGGTCATCCGGCCTCACGCTGGGTTTGTATCTGCTCGATTTTTAGCTTAAATTCGAAGATGCTGAATAGCCTTCAGCTGTGCCAGAAAGAAAATCGCTGCACAACACGGAGCTGCCAGAAGCTATGGAACAGGCAAACCGGCACAAAGGACTGCGCACAGCGTGGACTCATTTCCATTTACTTTGTATTGCTAAATTACTCAGGTGTTCTCTTTATTTTGGCAGTTACCTCCGCTGGCTGTCTTTCAGCGAAGCAACTTGCTTTGCATGCGAAAGTATAAACACGAGTCGGAAACAATGTGCAAGATGGCTGCCTATTATAAACCGTCACCTGGTGAAGAATTATCTGTCAGTTTGCTCCTGAATGCGAGCACAACAACAGATAATCGCTTCTCCGCCGCCTCTCCCTTTCAACCAGCACGAATACCTGGAGGGAAAGCTTTTAACACTTTCACAGTTAGCATAACCGAAGCCTGGGTCTGTCCTCAGCGATGACAGCGCGTCTGAGAAACGCATCTGGAAATGTGGGTTCTGTATTGATTTTTCTTGGAGATGCTGCCTGAGCATGTCTGTTCCACATCTCCGCCTGTCTGCAGCGCTGTGCCCGTTCCCTTCTGACCGTAATCACGCTGATGAGACAGCCCATGCTCAGACTATCATGTTAAGACCTCGCAGAATAAAACGAATTAGAGGAGCCTTTTTTTTCAGGTCAAGCCCAGTAATCTAATTCAAAACGTGTTTGGAAAAACTTATTAGTCTATAATCACAAATGCAGCTCCTCATCTTGGCTGAGCCTGTGTAAAGTTCAGCTCCGCTCACAGCAAATTGGGCCGCAAATTAAGTGAATTATATTGAATGAAAATTACGATTGTCTCTTGTTTCTGAGAGCTGTTTCAAAGCCGTTCATCAGCGAGACGACGCAGACGAGGGAAGTGTGAGAGCTTATTGTAGGAGAGGAGCTCTGCACCTCGGCGGTGAAGGGTCAGTACGAACTAACACTAAGACTAAAGCTCCCTCGTGAGAGAAAACAATTGATATTCAGCGTCGTAAGCGGCAAACCTCTGTGGAGAACACTATCTGAGCTGCTGCTGCAGCGGCGGCGTTGTGTTTCAAGTCCTTGACATTTTGAGAGGCACATAACTAGTACAAAGCTCAAGCATCTGGAAATTCAAAATAATCGCGGAGCTCAACTTTTCACATCACAAAGCTGCTGCCTGTGTAGTGGTTTGATTTATCCTTTTACTCTGTGTTTGGGATGTTTACCTTTTTCGCAGACTCGGAAAACAAGACGCCGTTGTTGCCGATGATTCCGACCGGGTAGCCGAATATTCTGGAAAATCCTGAACAGGTGCAAAATCAGACGGTGAGGTTCTGGATCCAAGAGAAGAACGTATAGAAATAGAAATCCACGTACCCGTAACAAGCGTGTCTCCGTAGAAAGCCTTGAATTCGTCAAACTTGCTGCCGTCTACGATCCTGGCAATGACCTGAAAGAAAGTGATAAAAAAACCTGTAACGCAAGGTCAAGCAGCACACTGATAGAAAACACAGGCGACTAGTTTGATTTAAGCGGTTTAACGGCACCCCGCGTCGAACAGACAAACTCCCGTACAGAGGGTACAGTCAGTTGATCCTGCAAACTAAACGGAGTGTCAATACTGTTCTACACTACAAACACTCTGGAGTTAGCGGTAATTCCTGCTCCTGGGTCTACATCAAGAATCAAAGACGCCGGCTTTAAAACAAATGGGAACATCTGGCGAGCCCTGCCAGAGAGCAAAAACAAAGTGATTGAAGCTAACCACCCGTTATCGACTCTCATGGCAGGACCTGACAGCTGAGCGCGTCCAGAACCTGTAAAAGCCGGGTCCGTTTGATTTATTCACAAATCTTGAGGATGAAATTGTGGCAAGAACGCGCCTGTGTTCTATATGTCATTATTTCTGGTCGTAGCGCTCCAACAGATCCGTCTAATTAATGGTATGGCTCCGCTTAACACACATTAAACAAAGGGTGTCATGGCAAAGTAATAGCTAATTAGCTGTCTGAGTGGAGCCATGGAATGACTTTCAATTATCATAAAGCATTCCCGCGTAGCAGCAGCAGCAGCAGCGTCTTCTCTCACATTTACAACATACCACATCATAATATACAAAACGCAGATAAAGGAAAACCTTCACAGAGGTTCTCCAGTTACCAAGACCTCTACTGAGGGGGATGAAAAAAATCATTCCTCCAAAAGCTATTCCCTCATTAGGCGTTGTGAATACGACACGTCAGTCCAAAACCTCCCACAGGTGTTCAGCTGAGATCTGGTGACTGCACTGGCCGCAATAAAGGATTCACATTAGCTTCACGCTCATTCGGATGAGAGCCTCGACTTCCTTCGCCCACCTGTGCATCGCTTAAAGCTCGGTAGGCAGTAATTCTTGTGGCATCATGGGGCAAAAAATTCGATAATAACCTTTCAGCATGCTGTAATTCAAGCGGTCTTAGAGGAAACTAGACTTCTCCTCTTGGCTCCCCTTTCAGGCTTTAGATTATCTGCCCCTGACAGATGACTTTGGCCAATCTGAAGATGTGCCGATGTGCTTGCATTCAGATGGTGGAAAAAATCATGCAGGTAAGGTTTCTATTCTAGCACTGACGAGACGCTGTAGAGGAACCGAAAGAGAAGGAAATACTGGCGATAAATGCAAAAACACACGAGTCATTATCAGTAAAGTTATCTGATATAACCTCTATATTCAGACTGTTGGTCCACGAGAAAGGAAAGCTGTTAATTAAATGTTTTCTGTACAGTCGTGACTCGATAATCGACCCTTAACAATCCTAAACCTTGAACAGAACCCATAAAAACAGCCTTAACATAGCGACAGCCTTGGATTGTGACTCCAACATGACATTTAATGTCACCAATCAGGATGACGGCGTATTATCTGACTGAACAATCCCACAGATTGGCTACGTTCACACTGCAGGACTTGATGCTCAATGAGGATTTCTTTGTGACTTCCTTCACGTTTCCAGTTCAATGCGACTTGTATGTGATCTGCTGTGTGAACTTCATACGAGCCAAAAGTGTCCCGCATGCGCAGAAGAGGACACGACGACGTCACACGCAGCGAGCGTGCTCAGTGTTTATGGAAGTAAACATGGATGGTGGCCACCACCGATGGAGGAAACAGAAGTGTGAGCGCTAACTAAACTAGCATCAGCAGCCAAGTACTGCCTGTGTGTTCTGGACACTTCCACCCCGTCAGAGCGCTGCCCCGGGGTGGAAGTGTCCCCGACCGCACCGAATATCCTGATATTCATCATTAATTGGGCCTGAACATCCAGAGAGCAGAAAGTTCTACTGGGACCAGCCCTACTAGTTATTATAACAACTATGAACAATAATGAACAATTAATGAGCCTTCCAGCATCAAGCCCTCCTGGTATCTGGACCTCCATCTGGACAATCCGACATAAAAGCAGATTGTACGTTTAGTGTTGGATTATCGAGTCACGACTGTAGCTGGTAATATGGTTGAGTAGGTATGTTTACCACGGTGGTGAAAGGCTATGTTGATAGATGCTAACAGTTTAGCCTTCTGCTAACCGTAGCCAAAGGTTCACAGCTACGTCTAATTCAATTTCATGTTTACGTTCATGTTTAAAATGAAACCTGTGATGCATGTAAGAAGGGAATGCATGTGTCTTTGCTCGCCTGGTGGACAAAAAGGACAGCGCTGCAGGAGGAGGGCTGTATTTTTACATTTTAGCAGATCCTTTTCTAGATTCCTGCCTATCCCAGCTTTAATATAGATGTGTTTTGTTCTTTTTTGCAATAGCTCATGGCCAGTACATTCACTTGTGTTGTTACTGCTGCTGTGTTTGTACGCTAAGAATGCACATTTTTAACCATTAATTTCTCTCCCTTGATAGAAAACACAGGAAACTGGACAAATACCTCTCTGACGTCAAAGTTGCGTTTCAGATTATCTCCGACGATGCCGTAGAGTTCATCTGCAGGATAGAGAGGAGCTTCAGTAGGTTCTGTGGTAACCTGAAAAACACAGACCCAGCGTCAACAGGAGGCGCAGATCCAATAACTCGAACGTAATCGTTGATGATCATAAGCTTCGGCTTGACCTCGATATTCTTCCTGTAGTTGAGGCTTCGTACTGCCTTTCTTGCTAAATGGAGCGCATGGTTGTCGTCCAAAGCGTAGTGGTCTGTCACGCCAGATTTTCTGTAAAATAAGCAACAAATCAATCACTGTGAAGATAATACAGCCCATAAATCATTACTGAAATCATTACAGACATGAGAGCGAGGGTGCTATGAATGTGGAATAAATATATTCTGCAGCTAAAAAAACAACCTTTGGTTTGTTTTGTTCTGCTCTAAAGTCATGAAAATGTTTATTAAGATGCCAGTTTTTGTGTAGCACAAGTATAGTACAGATAGTATTAATCCCCCTGATTTACATATTTTGCAGAAGATGCTGATCCATCTCTGGTGGATCTCGGGGCGAAAAAAAGACAGAAACTTGGGCCCACTATCCCACACAGCCCATAAATCGTGTGAAAAGTGCTGCGCTCATACTTGCAGTGTAGATCAGCACCACCGAGGTCCTCTGCGGAAACCTCCTCCCCAGTGGCAGCTTTGACCTATTAAGACCGAAGCGCAGAGATTCTCAACCAAAAGGAGTTATGTTCACCGACACGTCGTCCCTGCAGCACATAATAATTCACTCGTGTGCGGCGCTGAGCTCAAAGACATCGCCTGGCACACATGAACCAACTTGACTCTACAAAATTACACAAGACGCGCATTCATCAGACTGTGATGTAATATTTAAAATAAGGTAAAAAAATCTGCAAACCAGAGGAGGTCCTCCAAGAAAAATGGTGCCTTGCTTCCGCACGATGATGCTCTCGTCTGCCATGGCGGGTACGTACGCTCCTCCAGCGGTGCAGGAGCCCATCACAACAGCAATCTAGAAGAGCGTAAAAAAAGAATAGTTGGCTCCAGTCATGTACAATATTAAAGATCCCCTCCAGGCATGTTCAAAGATAGATAAAACACTCTGCTCTGAATGAGAATTTTTGTCCGGTATAGCTGTTCCTCATAAAAGTTAACCGATTATCTGGTCTGAAATTAAAATGCCATCTTCAACTCCTCAGATTCTGATAGTTTTTTCTTTTGAAAAGTTTAAAGCACTGACACAAAACGTCTTCACTGACAGACGCCTTCCACTCGCTTCAGGCTTCGAGCTGCACGCTTTAAACTTCAGGTGAGCTCAAGAGAAACTTTAGACTTTCGGCAGGATAATTAGAAAACAGTTCTTCCAGTGGCAAACTCTGAACATACATTATTCTGCACAGCCAAGGTCAAGCATCCAAGAAAAGTTAGTTCTAAGAAACTTTCCCCCTTTCAGCAGATGAATTGGAAAACGGCCTTCTGGTTCTAAGCTGTGCACACCTGGCCTCCTCGCACAGCCAAGGTCAAACTAGAAAGAGAGGGAAAATTAACCAAAGCACACTCTCTGAGTGGAGGGGACCTTGGACATGAAGATCAAGAGACGAAAACTCTCGTAAATCAAGCGCTTTGCTTTATTTGACGGCGAAACGCCAGAACAAGTCAAACTACGGGAGTGAGTGGACGATGCGGCTGTAATGGCTGCACCCATTAGAGTCCTGATTTGTGTTCGCTTCTGCATTTTGACAGTTTTACGATCGCTGACAGCTGGAATTGTTCTTCTAGTATTTCAAAAGGTAAGCCTTGTGAAAAGTAAACACGACGCGGAGAAATAAATATTGAGAAAACGGGAATAAATACAACAAAATCAGAATGAATTAGATTCAGTCTAGTGAAGGATACACTCGCCCTTGACCAAAGAGTTTAGACCTGCACCCATTTAATTCATCCACATTTTCCCAAACGGTTCTTGTTTTTAAGGAGAAGGATGTCTCTTCTTCAGCAGTAAATGGCAAATGGATTTTAGTTTCTGGTAAAAGTTGGTGATTGAGGGGAGACAAGCCAATTATGAACCCACCATGCTGCTGCTGTTGTGTGTGTTCTGTGATCAGTTGTGTATCACCTGTGCTATCCCCTCTGACGACAGCCTGGCCTGGTTGAAGAAGATGCGTCCGAAGTGGTCTCTGTCTGGGAAGACGTCGGCCTGTCTGGGTAGGTTGGCTCCCCCGGAGTCCACTGTGGGAAATCACAACGCACATTCAGAGAACTGACTAATTATTATCAACACCTCGTTCTTTGGCAACATCGCAGACTCGCAATCTTCCCTTATATAAACTGCAGCCTGCAACTCTCAGCCAAAGCCCTCTGGGATGTCCCAAGCCTACATACTGAGGGAAAAAAATGAGATTCCTCCCACAGGGCCCTTGGAGAGGAGACTTGGCCGACAAAGTTGCTGAATTTCGGAAACACAACTTCAAGTACAGTATGCTCACTTCATAAAGGAACTGAAATACATCTTTTGAATTTCTCTTTTTCCTAAAGGCACTTTTATATTTAGTTTTATTAGAATTTCCGGTAGTGATAAGGAACATTTGGTTTATTTTTACCTCCGTTTTGTAGATGAATGTTTCATGTTTTACCAAAACCCTTTCAAATATGGGATTACTCACCCAAGTAGATGCACGGTAAGTGGTTCTGTTGGGCTATTTCTTGTGCACGAAGGTGCTTCTTTACTGTAACCGGGTAGTACGTGCCTCCTTTGACAGTAGCATCATTTGCAACTATGACACATTCCACTCTGAAAAAACAAAACATTAAAACGTATTAATCAGAGAACGCAAGAGAAATTCCATTATTAGAAATCCAGACTCCTGTGACAGACT